TGTGTGTGTGTGTGTGTGTGTGTGTGTGTGTGTGCGCGCGCGTCTCTGGCCGTGTCGGTCTTCTTCCATGATGCGTTTCTTTTTCGGTTCTCGGTCGGTCGTGTTTGGCGGCGTCTTGGACTGTCCTCTGTTTGTACCTTCTACTTGATTTGGCTCCGTACTCAGCCCGCGTGCTTGGTGGTCTGTGCCAATCGCCTCCTTGAAAGTGCAAGAGAGAGGAACGTCCACGATCATCAAAAGTAGCTTCAACTTCACATAGGATCTAATCTGATTAGACCAACGTTGTCTTTCAAAGAGAACGCGGTGCAAACTCATTTTGTTCATTAGCATCATCATCATCAAAAACTTCATAGCAAGCGCGACCAGCTCTAGAATGTTGTCGTCGCCGCCGCTCCAGGTCAACCCCAAAAAAAGGCAAAACATCTCAAAAAACAGAAACTCGGGCATGATTCTGAATGGCAAGGTGGGTACAAGCCTCTGGTTGGCTGTAGTCGTCAGAGTGAGGCGCGACGGTGACATCCTTGGGCTGGGGGTAGACTTGGACGCTTGAAGAAAAGTAGCTCTGAGATTGGTTGTTGACGGTACGAGCCTTCATGATTGAGTGACAGGTTGCCATGTGGCGGCGAGCCAGACGCAGTGCGCAGCATGTTGGAGAGGAGTGCAGGTGGGAGAGGCGGGTTGGCATCGCGTCTGTCGTGTCTTCGGCAACAGGAACATTCTTGGCAGCGGTATTGGGGCTCGCGCTTTGTTCGGGATGAGCCGGTCGAGTGTCCTGAGAAGTTGTCGTTGCTGTTGTGTCTGTTTTTGATGGGGCCATCGTTGTCGGTTGAAGCTTGGAGTTGCGGTGCTTCTCATACTCGGTCACTGTCATCGCTTCGTAGAGGCTGCATTCGCTTGAGTTCTCGAAAAAGATGCCTTGCAATTGACGCCAGAAGCGACTTTGCTGTACCATGCGGCACAAGTATGGGCTGTTGCTGGTTGGGGCCCGTAGTCGCCGGTTTTTGGCCGAGAGGGGTTTAGCGTCGCTGGACGCAGCAAGCTTGTGGTTTTTGATGTAGGCTTGACGCACAACGTCGGCCAGGGTCGAGCTTGGCTTGGGCTTGATGATGGGCTTGGCGTACACTGGCAAGCTACCGCAAGACGCAGCTGGTCGTAGGGTAGTGCGCTGATGGGATTGGCACATGACGAGGTTAGGTTGAGCTCTCGGACGTTTGGGATGGTCTGGCCAGGCAAGATAAGAAAATGCGGCAGAACACGGAACTGATGGTGTGTGTCTCGCAACGATGAGAAGTCTTTGCCGCAAGATGTTGGAACCCACAGGTCGGTGTCAGGGTGGATTATGAGGGTAACACGACAGCGCGTGGTTGTCCCAAGGCTGGCTGGCAACCAGTGAGTTGCTTTGCTCTGACAGTTGTCAAGCCGATTAACAGCATTGGTTGGTTTTAAACATGTTGTTCTATGAAAAGATGGGTGGCTGATCGAGGGGGTTGCCCAGAACTATCAAGAATCGACCACAAGCATGGGATTGGGGCTTGTGCTTTACACACCATGGACCGATTATTGTCCATTTGGCCGGCCGATTCATGTCTCGTCGCCAAGCTGGCATCTGCCAGCCACCACACTCCTTTCTTGGGGTGCGCGTCCATTTGGTTCAACAGCTTGGCCCCACAAAGGTTTGAACGAATTGTCTTGGTCCAACCAAAAAAAGTGTGTATTTTTGTCAACCAGTGGACGTTTTGGACATTTCGACACCTGTTATCAAAAAGGGTGTTTGTGGAAGAGCCAGTCCCCAAGCTTGTTTAAAGTCCCAGAGCAGGACAGTTGGCTGAATGTGGCATGACCAAACGTGTCGTGCGCGTTCAGAGGTTCAGTCAGAGTGAGCGATGACTGTGTGCTTGTGAAGTCCTTGCGCCGCCAGGTCCAGCAGCGCCCCCTTCTTCCCCTATGTCTCGATGATGAATTTGAATTGATCACCATTCACACGGCGAGCGGGGATATTGAATCTCCAGTATAGGCAGCACTTGGCGCACTTGGGAGGCTGATTGCAGTAAACTTCCGGCGAGGACCGTGTCAGGAAGGGCACAAGCCGAATCATGAGTTGCAGGCCAAATCATGAGCTCAAAGCTTCAAAAGATAGAGTTGGGATTTCTGATAAAAAGGCATCATTTCAGAATCGAGCAATGACTTCACCGGGCGACGTGCTCACTGCAACTGGTTCTGGCGTGCCAGGTTCACTGGCAAGTTTGGCGGCGGTGCTGGACAGCCTGAATGCTCAGGCACATCAACCGAATATGCCAGCGAATAATGCTCATGATGATGATAATGCGAGGATGATGATGATGATGATGATGTCAACTGCGAACAGTGTGTGTGTGTGTGTGTGTGTGTGTGTGTGTGTTGAACGAGCTTGGGCTGTTTGTTGATCACAAGCGTGTCAATGGCAGTGAACCAAGGTCTGAAGGTGCTTATTCATACATAAGCATGCGCAAAAAAATAAGTAACACAATCAACTGGCTATTCTGAGGAGGATCGACCGCGCGCAGCGCGGCCACGAGAGGCGTGGCTACTCGGTCCACGGCCCCGACCCCCTCGGCCTCGACCTTGGCCTCGGCCCCGACCCCGGCCTCGCGCACGGCCCCGAAAGCCTGGAGGGCGTGTGTTGAGAGGTGGAGGAATGCTGGTTGGGCGCTCACAGAGCACATGTGCCTGGCAAGGGTACAGGTCGGTGAGAATGGGGTGCAGAGGAGCGGGGAAGAGTGTGACATGGCACTTGCGAACCTCCATATCTTCGGGCAAGACAACATGTAAGGTGGGAAACTCGAGCACACGCAGAAAGCGCAAGGCGTCCCGCAAGGTCATATCTTCGTCCAAGCGCACATATTGCCGAGCAGTGGCGGGGGTGTCCAAATTGGCCACCAAAACGGTCGCTTCCGCTCGCCGCCGCCAATAAGGCTCGACCCTTTGATGTTGCAAAAAAGGGAGGTTAGCCATCGCCTTGACCACGAAAAGCTTGACCAGAAGCAAGTACAGAAACAGGAAGCACACCCACTTGTGTCTCTCGACGGCATTCTCACTGGTCTGAAGCAGGTAGGCGTCCAATATTTGCCTCAATGGGCGCGCACACGGGACCCTGGGTGACACCCCAAACAGCCACAGGGTCAGAGAGGCGTGTGTCGGTGAGGACTTGGACAACTGTGCATGGATTAAAAACAAAAAAAAAAAAAACAAAAAAAAAAAAAAAGGAATAAGAAAAGCGAACATGGCAAGGACCTCTTGCATCTCGTCTGACCTGGGCTGCGTAAACTTGACGCTGCCAAACACAACCTCAACACGCCAATGGATGCGAGCCATGCGATCATGCGCGCGTGAGGTGTTGGCCCGGTGGCGCTCGTAGACGTCGGGCAAGAGCTCCAGTCGGATGCCGTGGCTTGATGCCACCTTGAGCAGGCGCCCAAAATTCCGATACACGTCACCCGTCCCTGCCTGCCAAGATCGAATCCATGAGCATATCAAGGGGTCAGACCTGGCTCAAGGCTCGTGTTGGCAGCGGCAATGGGAGCAGTCCTCATTCGAAAAGGCAAAAACCAGGGGCTAGACATGAAAGCACAGCTGAAGCATCAAGGGCAACCACGCACCGTGGGGGCTTCCGCGGCTGCCTGACGTACACTTGCGCCAATCGGGCGTGTTTTGGCGCCAACCATGCGCGCCGCATCCTCGAGAAAGCAATAGTCTAGGGCAGCAAGAACCTTTGGTGTGAGCTGCTGGTGCTCCACCAAGATTGTGTGCCAGTCAGATGGGTAGGCAAAAGGCAGGCCATAAACACACCACGCCAGAGGACTTGGTCCGTGAGCTCTGATTTCTCGCGGGTCATTCGAGAGCGAGGTCGGATACCGTCGCACTCGTATTGCGCCTTGTGCGCCTTGACGCAGGCCAAGCTGGATGGGCGTTTTCGTGGTCCAGTCACGCAGGGAAACATTAATGAGAGCCATCACACTACTCGGCTGTTGGTTGCCTGACTTTTGCACTCATCACGCGGTTCTCACCTGCAGGTCTTCCGCTCACACTTGGGGCAGCGGTATTTATCCGGCTGCCCACACATGGCGCAGTTGGGCGCCGAAACTGCTGGCGATGCAGGTCGATTTGCGTCAACAGCTTCTGAATCCGCTGCCACAGGGATTGCCGCATTGTCAGCTGGGTGCGACCCGAGCAAACCCAGTTGCGCCGTAGTCGCCCCGCCCACGTCTTGCTTGGCAAGTTGCGCCAGTCGGATGGCCTCGGCCGTCAGCTGGCCTTCATTCAACGCCATGCCTGCCGTATAAAACCAGCCAAGCCGCCCTTTTGCCAAGGCTATCGCCCGCCGTCTCACCTCTTGCCCAGCGGGCTATGGCTGAGCGCGTACGGCCGTGAGCTTTTGCCGAGAGGCACCCACACACAGACAGAGAGAGAGAGAGATACACACAGACACGGATACACACAGAGAGACAGCCGTGCAGGTTTTGCAGGTTTTTGCTCAGAAAATGGCCACGAGGAAAAGAACAGAACAGCACACACAGCACACAGCCCAGCAGCAGCGTCACCGATTGTCAGATCTTTTCCTGACTTTTTCTGCTTGTGTGCCTGACAGAAAACCTCTCACTCAAACCAATTTATCTCAAACTCTCTCTCTCTCTCTCTCTCTCTTTTTCCTTCTCTCTCTCTTTTATTCCTCGTTGCATTGCTTGCTGTACAGATTCAAGCTTGTTTAACCCTGTGGGGTCGTCGTCGTAGCTCGCTGTGTCTGCGTCTGCTTGTGTGCGGCCTTTTTCCCTCCTCCTCCTCCTCCTCCTCCTCCTCCTCCTCCTCCTCCTCTCCTGGTTGAGGGTCGGTCGTCTACATGGGTCGAGGAAGAGGCAATAACGTGCGGTCGATATTGATGAAAAAAGCTTCAGTTTTGGGTTGACGGCATCGAAAGTCAAGGACGCGTCAGTGTGCAGCATGGGGTGCTGTTGGACGTCGACGGAGCTGTTGCCCCTGATTCATGATGACGGTGGTCCCGCTCCGCGGCCAGGCCCCGCGGGCCAGGGTAGCAACGCACATGCGCAAGGTGGTGAACACGGGCGCCGTGAAGCTTCTTGGGGTCAGCGCTTGGCGGCCGCCTTGGTGTTTGCTTTTCACGGCGCCAGCGTGATCATGGCGGTCGTCGTCACCGTCCTGACAGTGTACGGCTTGGTGGTGGGCAATTCTCCGCTCGAGCTCTTGATCCTTGAGCAACCCCTCGACGTGGTGCCAGAGCAGCTCTATCGTCGGCAGTTGGTTCCGTCTCTCATTTCCGCCTGGCTGGTCAATTGCGTTTTGGGCGAGCTGTTCTTTTGGGTGTTAAACGCCAGCTTGCGGGCCAAGAACCAGGCCGCTCAAGCCGTTGTCAGCACCACGGCGCGCTTGCGTCGGGCGGGCCTCATCCTTTTAGCCCTCACCATGAGCGCCTACACAGCTGTCTTGCTCCACCACCATCCGAGGAACTGGCCCACCACGGTAGGCACGCGCCACCCCTCCTTTCGCACCTTCGCATTCACGATGGCTGCTGTTGTGCCGTCATCCAGAACTCACCTGCGCTGGCGGCGGGCCCGCTGGCATTAACAGGAAAAACACCTTAACATTTTGCGTTGGGGGCTGAGCTGCTTGGAGGGCCAGCGTTGGGTCGTCGCGCTGGCGAGTCCAGCATGGGCACCGGGCGAGGCTGGTTCGCGCCCATCACCGAGCCATGCGGCGGTGTTTGCAGTGCACCATTTGTGCTTGGGACTGATTGCCAGCGTGGCGCTCCTCGTGCAATTGTGTACGGAGGACCGGGATATTCCCGAGCCTCTAACCGGCGCTGGACGGCTCGCCGCCCAGGGTCTCGCGGCAGGCGTGCATTTACTTGCGACCTGGCGCCTGGTCACCACCGCATTTGTCCAATGGTCGGCCCTGCATGGGTCGGCACGACGCTACGACCTGGCTTCGTTGCCCGTCGCTGCCAATGCAACTTCACTGCCGCGGGAGCGATGCGCAGCGGCTGTAGATCGCTACCAAGGCTCAGCCGACGGAGGGAGCAGCCAGATGAGTAGCAGCACGTTTAGATTTCACCCCGAGCGGGTGCCCGCCGAGGGACCGAGCATCAAAGAGGCTTGGCTTGCCCAAGCCCAGGCCGGTGCGGACACCACATCCTCGCGGAATATGGGCTCATTGCGGTCCAAAGACCGCACTCCCAATCCTTTTGATTGGTCCAAGTTTCCTGATGACGACGAGGATGCAAATGCGGGGAAAGCAAACGACCCTAGTCCTGCTACAGACGCACACCGGCCGCCCAGCAGCGGATCCAAGGGAGGCTCTCTGGGTCGAATGGGCCGAAAACAGCGCGGGCGGCGCTCACCGTCAGCCCAGCACAAGGGCGAGCCTGTCTACGACCAGGCCTGGCCTGAGAGCGACCTTGGAATGCCAAGCCGGGCTGATGGGCAATTCCCGGGTGGACTGAACGTGCCTGGCAGGGGAAGAAGAGCTTGTGAGGAGGACGACGAGGATGAGTTTGCCGGATCCGGGGGCAGTCGGCCGCTGACACCCGTGCACACGTCGCAGTCACGCCCACGCAGCGACCGCACTTCCAAGGCTAGTAGCGCCGTCTACCAGGCCGTAGGGGACGATGGACCAGAGGTCCTGTATGAGGTAAGGCATGCCTGCGCCTGACCAAGAGCAAACCAAACCTGCTTTATGATTGATCCCCATGGCACAGCAAGGGGTTTGACGACTGTTGGGAGGACGGGTGCCGGTTGTTCTTTCTTGGCACATGTTCTTGTGTTGAGCCGATACCCCTCTTCGGTGCCGATAGTCAGGGGTAAGTGTTTTTTTTTTTCATCTTCTCCTCCTTTTATTTGTATTGTTAGGTGGTGGAGCCAGGTACTGGGGTGGCAATTCAACTAGGCCGGGTTGATCGGGACGATAGTGCCTTTTTGCACCGCGACAACAGCAACCAGGAGCAGGTGCGCGCGTCAGCGATCATAGAGGCGGATGTCTAAGGCCTGTCACTTTGTAGATACTTTTACCAGGGCAAGAGAAGAATGGCTGCGCCAACCCCTGTCCTGCTGCTCGTTCGTCATCCGTGCCGTCATCCGTACGATGTTATTCACGTCCGCGTGTAACAACGTCATGTCAAGTTGACTTGATCGTGTGTGCCAATTTTGCGCACAAGAACGACCCATCACCATCAATGAATTTCATAATCTTTATTTTATTCTTTTGTTGTTGTGTTCAGTCTATGTGACCGTTAATTTCATTGATCCCAAAATAGACTCGTGTATGCAAGTGACACACACACACACACACACACACACACACACACACACACACACACACACACACACAGAGGGGATGCCGCATTTTCAAGCAGTAGTAGTCCATGAAGATTACCACGGACACGGACCGGCAAGATGAGTGACAGCAAGATTGTGATCGATGGCTCGATCATGGAGGGCGGTGGCCAGATTCTGCGCAACACCTCGGCTTATGCTTGCTTGTTGAACAAGAACGTCGTCATTGAGCACATCCGCGCCAAGCGATCCAAGCCGGGCCTCAAGGCACAGCACAAGACCGGTCTCGTCTTGCAGGCAAACATGTGTCGAGGCCGGTTGCGCAATGCCACCGTCGGCTCGGACCGGGTCGAGATCTATCCAAACCAACTTGCAGGTGGCACCTTTGCTGCTGACGTGCAAACTGCGGGTTCAACCTGCCTGCTGATCCAGTCGGCATTGCCATTGGCGCTGTTTGCCCCCGAACAGGTCGAGCTGCAGCTGCGAGGAGGCACCAACGCGGAGATGGCCCCGCAGGTTGATTACTTTGAGCGTGTGTTTGTTCCTTTGCTCGAAAAGTTTGGGGGCCATTGCGATTGCCGTGTGGTCACACGTGGATTCTTTCCCAAAGGGCAAGGCGAGGTGCATCTGTCTGTGCCGCCTGTGCCGCGCCTGCACGGGATGGAGTTGCTGGAGCGGGGTGAGGTGGCGCGAGTTACAGGCCTGAGCTATGTGGCAGGACCGATTCCCGACCGTGTGGCTCGCGAAATGGCCGCTGCAGCGCGCCGTGCCCTACGTGCACAATACCCAGACCTGGAGGTGAACATTGAGGAGCAGCGCGCCGCCAATGCCGTGGGTGCTGGCACGGGCATTGTGCTGGTGGCTGAGACCTCAACGGGATGTCGACTGGGCGGCTCGGCTTTGGGTAAGCGAGGTGTACCGGCAGAGAAGGTGGGCCGCGCTGCAGCCCAGGAACTGTTGGCGGGCATCAACGCAGGTGGCTGCGTGGACGAATACGCAGCTGACCAGATCATCATTCTCATGGCCCTGGCGGTACGAAGTTGAAGGCTTTGAAGGCTGCCTGGTGGCCGCAGTGATGCCCGAGGAATCTCGTCCACATGTTCTGCATCCGCTCTGCCCTTGTCTCAACATTGTGTGCGTGTGCGTGTGTGCGTGTGTCCTGCTGTAGTCGGGCACATCACGGGTCAGGACGGGTCCATTGAGCTTGCATACGGAGACGGCAATTCACTTGGCGCGTGAGCTCTCTGGTCAGTAGAAAAGCATTGTGTGCCCTTGACTCGGGAGGGCTCAGAACAAGTGGGAGGGGTAAAAAAAGTCAATCGTGCCTTGATTTGGTGTTCATGGCTTGCAATGCACTTTTGATATGGGAATTCCACAGGAGCCAAGATTTCGGTCTCATCAGCCGAGGACCCGCACTTTCCAGAGGCGCGCGTGATTGAGTGCCACGGCATCGGTTTTACCCCGGACATGCGGGCCGCCTCTAATCCTTGAGCAGACGGCCGTGCCTTCTGAGCTTACCCCCCGCTTGCGTTGTCTGCCGTGGGCTTCTAATCGCCGCCATCGTCATTCGCCACCGCCTTGGTGGCAATGAGGAGTGCAGCTGTGCTGCCATGTCAACCCCCAATCCTGTCTTGGTTGTGCCTGGGCCCTACCCATATCATCACGCTTTTACAGTCATAACAGCAGTGAGGTCAGGTCTGGAATTAGCCAACTTTTTTCTTGAGCTTTAAAAATTGATTGTATCTTCAGATTTAGACGTGGCTTTGGAAAGGCGGGGGAACTTGAACTACCATGTGGCATGTCTCGTCGTCCCTTTGATATGTACATGATCCGTGGCAATCCAACATCATGGAGTAGAGCTAGCCATTACCCCCTAAAGGCAGTCTTCTCTTTTCCTTGTTGTTAGCCGCAGCACTTTGAGCTCGTATCAACGGCTCGTTTTGCGACGATCGCAGCACTTCGAGCTCGTATCAACGGCTCGTTTTGCGACGGTCGTTCAAAGTTTCCATGCACCAATATTCGGTTCTCGGTCGTGGTTGGACCATCCTTTCTTGGTTGGTCTGAGCTCTGAGGCTTTGCCTGGTTGGCCATGTTTGTTTGCGTCCGTACGAGCGGACGAATTCGTTCACGCTGCTGACGCCATTTGGCGGCGCGCAACGATGCACTTTACAGTCACACCACGCTCGATGGGGTTTCAAAAATATAATCGCGCAAGTCACAACGTTTTAAAAAAAAGAGCCCAGCCCAAGCACCCACAACACACAATAATTGGCTTGCTGCACATGGCTCTGGTCAGACTCGCTCCTCCTCAGCTCTCGCACAGCTGCACATTTTGCCACTCGTGGATGAGTATGATTTTGCCTGCATGCAACTGGTCGATCGGTGAGAGCCAAAGGCGCGACGCAAGGTGTTTCCCGTCTACAGTCAAGATGCGAGATTGCAGGCATGACCGCCATCGTGATCATACCCTTCCATCCAGAGCACCTCCCTGCATGAAGAAGCATGTGAGAGCCATCACCAAAAGTGGTGCCAGCATGCAGTGTGTGTGTGTGTGTGTGTGTGTGTGTGTGTGTGAAGAAGCACTGGCAATGTTGTGCAGCATAAGTGTGTGTGTGTGTGTGTGTGTGTGTGTGTTTCAAAACACGAGCAAGAGCCACCAAACGTAGTTCTTTTGTTCTTCTCCTCAAAAAAAGCAGTTCATCATCGTAAGGGGTACATCCTTAGGAACTCGTAGTGTGTAGTCATATGTAGTGTGTGTGTGACAGTTGAAACGTTAAGAAGCTCGCGCGGCTCTCTCTCGCTCTCTCTCGCTCTCTCTCGCTCTCTCTCTCTTGATCTCGGTCACTGTTCGTTTCAGTGAACGCCTTGCTACTCGTACTATTCCTCGTAAGTGTGAGTGTGTGAGTGAGTGTGTGAGTGTGTGTGTGTGTGTGTGTGGGTCGACCTGCCGCTGGCTGGTTCGTCTGTCGGTCAGGTCAGGTCAGGCCAGGCCAGTCGTAGAGGGCGTAGGGGGGGTGCGGGAAGTGGCCGATTCAACTCGTCTGGTTTTGTGTGGGTGGCTGGTGATCGATGGTGAACTCGCTTCGAACACGCTACTCCACACCACCTCAAACCTACACCTGTCGACCGCGAGCGCGCATGCCCCTTTGGCTCTGCCCGGGCTTGCAGCTCGTGCGCTTTGTGTTGGATCGAGCCAGCCGCTGGGGTGCAGCTGCACTCACACACGCACGCACACGCACAAACGAATCTCTCTGGCGGTTGAGCCAGCAAGCTCCCAACCCAAAGTGTCTGCCTTGTCCTGCCCAAACGCTGACTCACTCACCTCGCCGCGTTGTCTTGAATTCCCACCCCAGACACGGCTTTCTTGCGAGCCTTGAAAAGCAATCCATCAATCGTCAGTTGCCGCGTATTCAGCTCCAAGCATCGTGACCCGTGCCCTCTTTTTGACTTGCTTCCATGTGCATCATCACTCACATCCAACCCATCTGTGCTGCCCACCCAGTCTCTGCAGCACAAGGTCAATTTCGTCTTGCCTGCACCGTCTGCGCGACGGCTCTGCTCTCCAACTAGAGCCTCAGGTCTGTCCCTTTCTACTGATGCCAGCGTTCGTCGGCCGCCCCCATGGGCACGCTGGACTCACGGCCTCACCATGTTCTCCAGGTCCAGGGGACGGGGGGCGCAGCTCGCGGTGCGAGGCAAAGATGCATGCATCGGGGCACTGAGCACTCCCGTCCAACCCTGACCAGTCGTCTGCTGCTCCGTGTTCAGCCGCCCTTACACCTTCGTGCACGCCAACTCCATTGCCCGCTTGTCGGAGCCTAGGTAGTGCATGACTCCCCCGCGCGCTTGCCAGTCGCGCAGACTGCCACGCCTCACGATGATGTGTCGCTGGAGAGCAGCAATGCACCTGAGCCACCTTTGCGGCGTCCTCGCCCAATAGCCGTCATCTCAGCCGCAATATGGCTGATGCCAAGACATCCGCCTCGGCCGCGGTACGCAGACCACCTTCACCCATCCGGCCAATCAAACCGTGCCCAGCTCAGCGAGCTTTATTCGCCCCTATATTTATGGCCGGTTATCCCCTGCTTTTAATACCCGTACTCCATAGAGCCTTGGCTCCGATGATAGCAAGCCACGTACGCACCGTGTCCTCCCCTCGTCACCGCATGCTGGTTACACCTCGCCTCGCGATGATTATCGATACCTTCCTTGATTCATCTTTTTTTTTTTTTTTTGGCAGGCCTTTGGGATAAGTTTCGCGGCAAGAAGACCAAGGGCGGCAAGGATGACAAAAGCAAAGCTCGTAAGTCAATCCGTATCGTGCTCTGACCTCCTCTGCCCCGTACAGCAGCAGAACAGAAAGCGTTTTTGCTTTTACTTGCTCGCACCCCTCTCTACTCTCCTGGGTGAAGAAGCGATCAGGCCTCTCACCCAATCTCCGCTCGTACTCAGCCTCTGCCATCAGCGCCATGGCCCTTGACACCAACCGGAGTTACTTCAAGGTTCGCTCATTGTAGTTGACCCTTTTTTTGGTCCACATCTTGTGCCCGCTCTCTGCCCGAAAATGGCGCCCGTATATCCTGGATGTACAAGAAATGTTTAACACTTTGCTGACGACGCATCATTGTGTTTTAGTCCAACCGCCGACGCCGACGGGAATCTCTCAACACTGGCGTCGTTTATGATAACATGAGCCTTCTCGATCGTCACGATCAGGCTCGTGGTAGCCAGAGCTCAGAAGCCAGTTCCGCGTCCGTTCCCGATGCAAAGGTTTGCATTGCTGCCCGCGGTGCTCGCCGCAACGCATCTGCTGCCAGCCCTTTGCTATTGGTTCACTCAACTTGCTTTTTTTTTTTTTTCTTCTTTTTTTTTTCTTTTGTTTTTTTTTCTTTTGTTTTTTTTTGCCGCGAGAAAGCAGACGGCTAAACGTGCCGCCCGTGCCTACCATGGTTCGTTCCTCCCCGCCCCTCTGTTTTCCGTATGCAAACACTGCGGTTGCCTGTCCGGCTCACCCAACACCATCTGTTGTTTGTCAACACGCGCACGCTCACTCTCACTACCCCTGCTTTCTCCTTAGACGTGCGCTGGGACACAGACCCTGATGCCTGGACCGATTTGTCCCAACTGCCACCAGGTTAGCTTGCCCTCTCAAGCCGTGCAAGGCATTTGAACGGGAGGCGTGGACACGCCCTTGATGTCTCACCAAACGTTAACTTGTCGCTGTGCTTTGTATAGACCCCACTCTTGAGCCCGCCACCTGGGGTGACACAGTGCCCTCCGAGGTCAGCGTTCAATCTGCCAGCCAATGCTCTACCATCATCTTGCACGCAGGCATGCTCGAGCATGATTAATGTTTTTACACCGACCTCTATTCGCATGTTCTAGGAGCTAAAGGGCATGGACAGTCGCGCCGTGCGCCGTCAGGATATGATCTACGAATTCATCCAGGTGAGCCACAGTTTGTAAAGCATGATCTGAACATTTTGATTTCATCCTATCTGTTTTTTTTTTGTTTTTTGCTCACACTGCCGATCGACTTGACTGCCTGTGATTTTCACGACCATTTGCAATTCGAATCCTGTTATTTCGGTTCGATGTGTAAAACCTTGCAGACGGAGAAGGCGTTTATTCGCAACCTCATCATTCTTCGCGTCAATTTTCAACTACGCTTGAGCCACTCTGGCGTCTTGTCTCAGTGCGTTGGCTCTGCTCCCCAGCACCATTGGCTCTGCTCCCCAGCATCACAGTACAATCGCCTGTGATCTTGGTGACGCCCGTGTATATTCTTTCCGTCGTGGGATACATGAGCACTCAATGGCTGATGCGATTGACTCTTTTGTGGCGTAGGGAGCAACTGGATGGCTTGTTTGCCAATTTGGACGACATTATCGCTCTAAACGGGCCTTTTTGTCAACGGCTGGTGGATCTGCAGCACGAATACCATGCACGCTCTTTTCCCAACATGGGCGAAAATTTTCAACAGCTTTTCCTGACGGTGGGTGTTACACCAAGCCATTCACTACTGTGTGCCCTTGTCAAAACACCCTCTCCTGCCCAGATCTGGACACTCACGTCTTCGCCTCTGCCTTGCTCGTGGCGGCGTTTGGCTTTTGCTTGTTTGTTTTCTTTTAATTGCTAATTTAGGAAACTTTTGATGCCGACTGCAATACCTACGGCGATTTTTGCGCCAATCAATCTTCATCAACTCGTGCCTTTCAAGCTCTGTACGCATGCCGCGGGCTACCTTCACCGTCGCTTCGTATCTCGCCGTCTGTCTCACCCATCCGATGCTGCTTTTCGCAACTGGCTGCAGCATGCGTCAAGACCCCCACTTTGAACGCGTCATTAATGCTGCTCATGCTGAGCCCGTATGTGCGCGTCTCAAGTTTCCTGACTTCATTGCCAAGGTATGTGGTCTTTGCAAGAGACTTGTCGCACTTGAGCGCTTTGAGCGGGATTGCGCTTTCACTACTTGCACCGTGTTCCTAAATGGTGCTTAGGTTATGCAACGCCTTTCCAAGTATCCGCTGTTGATTGAAGGCATCCTGAAGAATACTCGGGTATGCACACGACACCGTGCTGCCCGAACGATCCAGCATGCCCCATGGCCCCACCCGAACAGTGATACTCACTTCTTCCTGCTTCCATTGCACATTCTTACTTACCAGACGAAACAGCAGCACGAAGAACGACAGTTACTGTCGCAGTGTCTGCAACAAAGCAAATACATGATGGAAGTACGTGGCTTGGGCTTGAAACAGCGTCTGTGCTGGTTGTAGTTCTGCCCCGCCCACCGCACTCACAACTTCGTCTACCCGCAGGTGATTGACAAGAAGATTAAAGAACAGCAGGACTTGGAGCGGCTGCATCAGATCCAAGACAAGCTAGACTTCTCACATTGCATGCATCACAAGCACTTGGCGCATTACAGCAAGTTGAACCTCATTGTCAATGAAGAACGCACCATGGTGCGAGAAGGCACCCTTGACGTTGTTACCGACGAATCGCAAACCAAAGGTCGGTGTTGCCGGACATGCCTAGCACAATCAACTGCGATGCTGCACGCTTGCGCATGCTGCTTGCACTCACAAGCAAGGCCGTGCTTGTCGTAGAGGTGTATGTGATCCTTTTCTCCGATGTAGCCATCTTCACCCAGCAAAAGGAGGCAGCGCTGATTCTCAAATGCCCAGGTCTGCAAAGCAACACACTTATGCTGTTTTGGACTGTCCCGGACGTTCATAGGCCTGGCATCTGAGCGAATAAGTCCCATGAGGCACTTTTCTCACCCCTCTTTCACATTGTGCTGCCCTACTTTGACACGAACAGGCAAAAGCATTGTCAAGGCCGCCATGGACCCCGTGCTCCCACTCAGGGGTACCATTGTTCGCACCGACGCCACCGACAAGCGAAGCCTTATCCTCGTCAATACTCTGTACCACAAGGTATGCTGTGTGCATCTGGTCTTAGGCCACGCGTGACGGTGCTCCCTAACCACCCCAACCTTTGCAGAAAAATCAATCCATGTATCGCCTGCGCGCCATGAACGGCAAGATGAAAGAACAATGGTGGAATGGTCAGTTCTAGTTGCGACCGGTCCATCGTGAGATACAATGGATTTTGGGAAAAAAAAAAAAAAAATCGCGCACTCATTGCTCGCCTCTTTCCGTTCTTTCTTCGCCACTGGGCACCTGATGCCAGATTTTCAAAGATGCATCGTGCAACAAGAAAGACTGGGCCGTGACCCGCCGCTGTTTGAAGCGGCTCACGTGGATGATGAGCCTGCGGTCAGTGCTGCTGCCTGAGACATTCTGCACTCCTGGACCAAGTGTACAATGATCGTCCAGGTCTTTAATGATTGTTTTCCGATTGGGTTTTTTGTGTACAGGATGCCACAAAGCTCGTTCCGCCTAGCCCATTGATAAGCCACAAGAGCGACGACTCACTCCTGGTGGCTCGAGCTGAAAAAATGAAGGGCCACCACGAATCTCCTGCGCACCGCATGGCCATGGAAACGGCCGCAATCAATCGCACGCTTCGTAAGGCCCTGCTCCAGCGACCCCTTTGATGGCAAGCACCGGCGCAAATATTAACGGTCTTTGCCTTGATTGACACTGGCTTGTGTGTGTGGTCACGTACGTGGTGCAGAACGGCGGTCTGCCCGACAGCGGCAGAGTATTCCTTCTTTAGCCCTGGATCCTGAGCTTGAGCTCGCCACCTCTACAGACGACGCGATGGACGGGACAGAGCCTCCTTCTCCTATGGGCTTGTCTATGGGAGACGCAACCACCGGGGCTGCAGATCAAGCTCGCAGCGCCTCTGCTACCACCTCGCCCACCAGTCGGCGCCCTCCGTCCACCCTCTCTGACTTTAGCCGCAGCATCTCCGTTTCCGCCTCGCCCATTTTGCGTCGAAGCCGCTTCGCCTCGGTCAATGCCGCCAATCGGTATTCGCGTTTGACCATCACTGTCAAATATAACGTGGTACCCGGCTTGACCTACTCCTTTGGTCTGCGTCTCGGCCCACTACCAGATCACATCCTTGTACGTGTTCCCACCTTGGTAAAACAGAGATAAATGTGTGCGTCATTGAAAGCTAACGCTGGTCCCCGGTCAACGCGGGCCTGGCGTGCTTAGGATGAGGATGCAACACTGGATGGTGGTCTTTATGTCGTGGCAGTTGCCGGTACATCCGATGCTGAGCGCTCTGGTACGCTTGTTTCGTCTTTGAGGTCCCGTGTCATCAACAGCCTGTGCACCCACTCGTGGATGCCACAGAAGTCTTGCAGAATGGTTCCGACGCTCTCGCATTCTCACCTTTGCCTTGCTCCGCCTCTCCCACCCATTTTTATAGGCTTGAGACCGGGCGATGTTATTTTCTCCTGTGATGGGCAAACTGTGCGCAATCAGCCTCCCGCCCAGCTAGCCAACAGTCTTGACCTGCATTCGGTGCGTACAAATGTTTTTTTGCTGATGGGCGAAGCAAGACAAAGCCACCGTGGAGAGCTCTGGCACTTGTACTCGAGTCACCTCCTTATCGATCGGGTTACTGCTGCTTAGGCGATCAAAAAGCTTCAAATAGCCCGCCCTCCCGATCCATCGCCCTCAGGCAGCACAGGGCGGCCGGTGACGCTTCATGGTTCTCTACGCTATTCATCAAAGCGAAAAGCGTACGTCGCATCAAAGACGCGTTCTGTTTGGGTGTCTTGGTCAGCCTGTGCCGCACACCTCCAAGTTTTTAATGTTCCACGACCGTGCTTGCTTGCACTGGTCCATCCACAGGGTATTGCCACCACCGCTGCAAATTAAAGAAGGCGGCGCAGGGGCCGCCGTGGGCATTGGAAACTGGCTTGAGTCACAGACGGACGACAGCCAGCATCCCGAGCCTTCGCTGGACGACTCAGTACGCACGCCTATTTTTGACGTTCACCATGAGCTACCAGAGGTGACCCCGGAGCCGCAGGCTGGGTTGGACATGCTCTCGCCCCAGACCATTCGTGAGGACGAGTCGTCGGATGAAAGCCGTCTGGCTACACCCCAGGCCTTGTCTGAAAAGAGCTCGCGTCCGTCCATTCCCGAGCTCAACTTTTCCCCCTATGACTTGAATATTCCTGAAGCCATTGGTGAAATTGTTGGAGAAGGTAGCCCGCTCTCGCCTGAAGCACCGCTTCCGGCTGTGGTAACGGCGTTGGAGGGCGCCATGCCTTCTGACGGGGCAGAACTTGGTGGCCCAAGCAAGGGCATGGGCACCTCCTTGCCCCCACACGTGCTCCAGCCTAGCCGTGTCTCAAGTCAGGATTCTCAGTGGCTTCCAGCTTCAGAGGCTGCCTTTGGGTTTGGGGATGATGACCCATTGCGCTTGGCCAGCCCTGGCTCGCTTCGCTCTCATTTTTCCGCTGATGACGAAGACTTTGACCCTCGCGCTGAGCGCCAGCGCAGTCAGAGCAAGTACGGATTTCAAGAGGATGTGAACGAAATGGCCGCCTTACCCCCGGCTACGCCAATGACAGCACGGGTCACAGCTGAGCCTGGAACGGTACTCACAATTGTCATTGATGCCGGCGCCATCAACTTGCGGCTTGGCCTTGCCGGTGTGTTGCTTTGATCTTCGCTGCTGTGTTCATACTTGAGTTTCTGGCATCAGTCGAGATAGTGAAGGTGGTGTAGGATGTGGGAAATGGAGTGGTGGGCGAGACTTGAGTTTCTTATTCATGGCTTGCGACTTTGGTTTAGGCGACGAGTTTCCAGACATTGTCACGTCAAGTTTGCTGGGTGATTTCTTGCCGCCAAGCGACTCGCGCGTCATGACACCGGCCCAGCCCTCGGGCCAGGACGTGGCCCTCGTGCTGCCGGCCGGGTTGCCAAAAGGCCTAAGCCCCCATTCGCGCGACGTTTTAGCCCGCAGTGCGCAGGCCGCACGGCCCGTGTCACCGCCGCTTCACCCTCTCTCTGTGGGCGTGGCCACGGGTGATGCTGACTGGGAGCACGACTCTTCCAGCTCCGATGAGGAATCGACCAACGTGGGCGTGCGACAGGCCAACCCACGGCGCCCAGGCAAAAGCAAGGGGAAACCCCATGACAATGCTCTTGGGCACGACGGCGGGGCCACGACATCATTGCCGCACCCTCAGGCCCGGCATGAGCCGTCCCGGTCCAAGCACAGCGCCGGTGCTTCGCCCGCTGCTGGAGTGGTGGCCACCGAACAGGACGACAAAGCTGGCATTCACACTGCTCTGCAGTCAGAGGCGCCAAATCTCACTGTGCCCGGCTCCGGTACTGTCTCTCAAGGTAGCCCTATGCTGGTTAATGCGCACAGTCCTGTGGGTCGCACCATCTCTGTGTCGGGCAGCTATAGCAGCCCCGAGCTACCGCCCTTGAACGTCGACGGCAACACGAGTGGGTGGGAGGAAGGCTTTGACTACATTCGTTTGCCTTTGGGCTATGATGTGTTGGAGGCCGTCTATCCCCCCGAGTTGTCTAGTGTGCTTCGCATTTCCTACCCTTTGCGCCAGCGCGATGCAACGGGAAGCTTGGCCGATTGGGATGGGGTAGCCCTTTTGCTGGAGCGCACTCTTTTGGAGCTTCTACACGAGGACACTCTGTGCCGCGTGGCCGTGGTTGATCGACTTGTGGGCACGACGCATCGATTGATGCGCCAGCGCAATATGATCGCCGAAAAACTCTTCACCATGCAAAAGGTGAATGTGCAGAGTGTGTTGTTTGCTGACCAGGCCTACCTCTCCTGTCTGGGCTCAGGCCGGCGCTGTGCGCTTGTTGTACACGTGGGCGATACCTACACCCAGGTTGTACCTGTGGTTCGAGGTGATCTCAGCAGCGAGGTACCCGAGCCGCTGTTGAGCTGTGCCCGTGCCTCAGAGCTGGCCGGCGACACGGTGACGCAGCTGTTGGGTTTCTTTCTGCAAGCGCAGGCACCAGCATTTACGCGCGTCACCCGTGAGCGGTACGGTGGGCCCAAAACTCAGGTCTTGTTGCGTGACATCAAGGACAACCTCAGTTTTGTGTCCATGGACTATCGGGAGGACATGCAGTCATGCAACACAAGCACCGCCCTCCAAGAGGTCTATGTCATGCCAGATGGAGACGGCGAGGTTGTCCTTGGGCCAGAGCGGTTTAGCTGCGTCGAACCCCTCTTCAATTCGGACGTTGGCTTTCCGCACCTTGCAGAGATCAACCCGGCACGTGGCCCAAGCGAGCAGCGTGAGACCATTCCCATGCTGGTGGCCGAGTGTCTCAACGCGTGTCCAGCCTCTGTTCAGGATCTGCTTTGGTCCAACATTGTGCTGAGTGGAGGCACAACGCTGATGCCCAACTTTGCCGAGCGCCTCGAGTACGAGTTGATGCAGCTTATGCCCGGCCGACCGCCTTTGAAGATTGATCCACAGCACGACCGCGTGTTTTTGCCTTGGCTTGGAGCTGCCATGTTGGGAGAAATGGAGTCGATGCAGAACCGCTTCATTACCCGAGAGGCTCATGAGGCCCGGGTGGCCCAGCAGTCAGCGCTGGGCAGTCCACTCAGTCGCAAACCCTCAATTGGCATGGCCATGCCTCTGCCGCAATCGCCGCAAACCCGACGTGCCGGGTTTGCGGCCATGTCCAATGCCAGCTCCAGCAGTGATGTGACCATTGTAGATCCCGCCAACTTGTCGCGCCAGTCTTCTCTGCGCCGATCTATTGGGCGCAACATCGATACGGAGGAGACGCTATACAACCTAGACTTGAGTGATCTGCCAATGTCCGGTACGTTTGCAGTGTATTCCTTGTGGGAAAGGGGAAGATGAGGAAGCATCATGTTAACTCAATCTGTGTTTGGACATCAAGATTGAGAGAAGGGAGAGTGCAAAGCAAACCTAGTTGGCGACTGACTGCACTCCCTGCCATGCTTGTCTTGTTGCTCACGCTGCGATATGGGGGGGAAACGACAACCATAGGTACGACCATGTCGCAAACTTCGGCAGCTACCCATCTGGACCGCATTCGCAGCGCCCTGAGTCGCGTAAGTGTCGTGTCGAGGACGGGGATATTTTGGTTTGCTAGCGTTGCTTGGAAACACGTACAGCAGACTTGATTTGAAAAGAAAAGGCAGATGCTGCTGGTTTGCGGGAAGGTGCAGGTTGGAAGAGGCAGACGAACGAGCTGGACTCAGTGCTTACACCTTGGCATATCCCTTTGACTGTTTATCAGGTGGAGGAGCAAATTCTGCATTTGCATGCCACACGAGATGAATTGCAAGCGGAGCTCGAAGTGTTGGCCAGACATGGTGAATACATTGATGTTGTGCCCGAGGAGGATGAGCGTGAGATCGACTCAGAGTCCAAGAGGGTGCCTAGTCGCCCTGCCACGGGTGCACAAGGGGCCAAGGGCAAGAAGACGCAGTCGGTGTCTTTGGGCATGACCACGGCACAGGCACTTGAGGCTTTGACGTGCGAAGCACGCGCGCTAACGTTGGAGAGTGAGCATCAGCGTGCTGGCAAGGCAGCCAAGGCCAAGCCAGGGAGTCCAAAGGTGGCTCCACCGCGCCCGCCACCGCCCATGCAAAAGACAAGCTCGTTGGAAGGCGCAACTGTTTATGCGCCGCAGCATGACGCTGTACACGTGGGTTTACCCTTCATGCCTTTTGATTCACGCCTAACGGCTGAATCAATCGCGTTGTGGGATCCAGCAATGGTGGCCTCTTGGTTTGAGACTGTGGAGCTCGATGCCATGGCTGAGCGTGCTTTCGTTCATGGCATCAATGGTAAGTTTTGCTGTGGGACAGCCTGCTTCTATTTTGCAGCTTTTTGAATCTAGCGTCAATGCCCATTAAAGCAATCAATGCATCTCACGTTCGATGGCGCAACGCAGGTGTTGATTTATTGGATCTTGATGACGATGACCTGTTGTCCATGAATGTGCGCGATGTGGATTTGCGGATTCGAGTGCTGAAGGAGCTTGAGCTGCTGGTAAGGCCTCGTTCTTGCCGGAACAAACAGAAAAGCCTGGGATAATTGTTGGGCTTATCTTGTCATGCTCTGTTCTCATAAAACTCCCGCCCTCACTCGCTCGGAATTCATGCAAAGCTATTGGAGGCGTCGGGCAATGAGGCATAAGCACCACATCATCATGACCCCTTTTGTTTCCCCGTTTGCCATGATGCCACGATTTGGTATTTCTCGCGAGAGTGGTCTCAACTCCCATCCATCATCATTCATCCACCTCGAAACGATGTGCCTCGACCTCATGCTAGTGGCACGGTAAATCGTGGCCTCGTTCATATTATACCGATATTCAAAGCACGCTGCGTCTCTCGATGCTTATAACAGTCGGCCCAGCTTGTCAAACTGAACCAAAGCGTGTTCTTATTTTGGAACTTGTACAGTATCTGCAGCTCGCAAAAGGGTTGTGTCCTGCATCACAGATGCACCGTGACCAGAAATTCATTTCAGCCGATATCACGCCATGTCTTCCATTCTTTCCTCGCGCATATATTTGATGTATTCTTGAAATGAAACAATTTCGTGCATTGCTTAAGTGGTCTCAATTTTCTTTCAGGTGTCATTTTGTTTTTGTTTTTTGTGTTTTCGTGTTTGTTTGCTTGTTTGGAAAGGCCAACACCTCTCAGTGTACACTTGTCTATTCCGACTTGACCTTTCGAGAAGCCCCCCAGCATCGGCAGGCCGCGAGCATACCAACGAGCTTGGCGGCAAGTGCCAGAAGAAGCAGTGCCAACAGAGGAAAACTGATGTCAAAGAACACAAGCTTGCGAACCTGGTCTCCAAAGGCGAGGGGGCGCAGAAAGGGGCGCACAACATGGTGCTCACGGCCTGTGCCAGAGGCATTCAGGTCGAGAATGACGGCGTTGTCCGTAACTGAAAACTGTTGAAAGCGACCGACCCAGCGGTGATGCACGCCGTCACTGGAAAAGTAATGGAATGCCGGTTGCAGCCAGTACAGGACTGAGTCAAAGAGCATGAGCTTGGCTGAGCTGATGATTGAGGCGCTGCGCGTAAGGCCTGAGGACGTGAGCGAGGTGAGACAGCCTGTTTGCACGCCATCATCAGAGCGGCACAGTTGCATTTCCGAATAGACGTGGACGTCGCCCCCGATGAGAATGACGTCCTTGACCCGCTGCGCCTCGTGGAGGGCGTCAAGAATCGTAATCAGATTCTCACGATGGGTGGGATGCATGGGATACTTATCACCTATACGGTGTCATCAAGTGAGGTCAAAAAGGAATTTGCGACGGCTCAACCAAGGAGCGGTGGGGAACATGTCAAGGGAAAAACGAACCTTCAATGGCAAAGGCTACATGAGAGAGCATTTCAGATGGCCACATGAGGGGCAGGCCCGTCAGGATAACGATGGAGTTGACATTTGTATCTTCGACCCAACGATGCAAGTGTGTCAGGAAGGATTTCGTCTGCTTCTCGCCCAGCAGCTCATAGGGCGCCTTTGGCGAGGCATAACTGCGGTAAAACCTGACCCAGGCCGCGATTTCAAAACGACAAAGGACACAAGACGGGCCTGATGAGATCAGCGCAAACTCAGCTGCGACATGCACACACACATACACAGACAAAGAGTGGAGAGCAAGAAGCAGCTTTGTGCCTGACAGTGAGGCGTCAAGAAAACACACCGGGTATCAAGAGCGGCCACAGCCGTACTGCCAACTCGCATGAACGCATGGACGCCGGGGTGTGCATCTTCCTTGCCAATGTTATCAGCCGACAGCTTGCTGAGCTCCAAAACATCTGAAGCATCCCAACCAGATGAGGTAGAGCCGTCAAGGCAAGGCAAGGCGCGGGCTGTGGAAGGAGACTATTGTCGTGTCAAGGAAACTCACCAACCCATAGGGCGCGCTGGAACTCATAAGTGGTACGCTGGCCGGCCACCCAATACGGGTCGTCGCGGCTCGCGAGGACGTTTTCAGGGCTAGGACGTTGGTCGGTAAAAGATTTGAGAGCCAGACACAGACTGGACAGACGGCACAGGCGATGCCACACCGTCTTACCTTAACGCGTTCATCACGTCATGATCATCGGGAACCATGATATGGGAACCAGTGGAAAGGAAGCGGCGCATCACAGGCCGCGACCAGGCCTCTCGATAGAGGTCGCGATACAGGGGAATTGCCTGTGTGCGCGCAATGCAAGCGCGGAATTGCGGTGAGGATACTAGGTCGCTACTTTAACTCGAGAAAAATCTCAACACTCAGGGTCACTCAGGGCACCCGTACCTCATCAATCGTCTGGGCTTCCAGTTTGAGCAATTTGTCCGCATAGATTTGGTCTCCCATGTGAAACATGACATCAAAGGGGCCGGCCCGATCCGCAAAGGCCTCAAGAAAAGCATCGTCGTTAGGGTCATCGGCAAAACGATCACACGAGACCACGATCATGCGGCGGTGGTCCGTGTCTGGGCACGGGGTAGCAAAGTGGCTCGTGATGGCTGTCTCAGGCTGGTCCTTGACTTGCACGGTCAAGGTGTACTGGTGGCAAGTGTTGAGACGATTGATCTTGAGGATCATGGGCATGTCAGTCAAGTGTACCACCTCCGTGTGGTGATCAGGAGCATCAAGGGTGTACTCGAGTGCCGAGCAGCTCTTACGAAGCTCGGGATCGGTGTGGCGGCAATCGACAAGCACGCGAGCCACTTGGTTGGTGATGCGGCCGTTGACCAAAAAGATGGGCGAATTGACTTCTGCATCACTGTCTTTGTCGCTCGATGCCGCGCAGAGCGCGGTGGCCAGCACCAAACACAAGAAGCTTCGTTGAGACAACATGACTGGTGGTCCCAGCGACAAATGACCTGAGCACCACCGCGAGCGGGGAATGATTGAGTCAAAAAGAGCGACAGGCTCAAGGATCGTGCCCACGGCAGCCAAAGGGAGCACAAAGCTAGGTGCCAAGCCAAGTGCTGGTGTAAGAGCAAATGGGAGCCCTTGGTCGTCATGATGCACCAACCCTTGGGCGCGGAGGTGTCAGAACTCCAGCAGTGGCAAGCTTTCAACACCAACCTTGCAGAATCCAGTTGAGGGTTGCCAATGTGTCTGTGGCCTCACTAACCCCGTATGGCAGCAAACAGCACCAAACACAAGGGCGCCCAGGCGAGCACAGCAGCAGCAGCAGCAGCAGCAGCAAGAGGTCCAGGCTCAAGTGGAGCCGTGGGACACACACGGTGCGCAGAGAGAAGAAAAATGAGTTTCACGTGCGACTCCTCAGCGACACAATGGTGTGTGAGAGCGCCTGGGCGTGTCGGTCTGTAGCTTAGTTCCGACCTTTTCTCGCGCCCACAACTCTGGGCGCTTGCGTACGACTGCTGCCGCTCCACGGCCGAGGATGCAGGCACGACGGGGTGCGCTGCCGTCGGCACTTTGTCGCATGGGCAAGCGCAATAACCTGCTCACTGCTGTCGTGGTTACATCGCTGGCGTTGATGTTGACAACATCTGTTATCGACTTGAGGCACTTTTCATTGCATGCATGCAGTTTCGTGCCTACCTCCTTTGCTGCTGCTGGTGGCGGTGGGTGGATCGCCAGACAGACTGAAAAGCTCGATGCAGCAGAGAGAGCGCGCTTGCAGAACATTGGCTGGTGTTTGGGGGTAAAAGCTTTTCGCCTGCCCGAATGGGAGGGTGCTGCACAAGATGGCAGCTGATTTAGACTATTTCCATGGCCACCTGGATCGCTCCGACGTCGAAGGTCAGGCCCGTGCACAAGCCTCTCTGCTCGCTCGCGCCCCGCCCCATCTGTGCTTGAATCGGCCCGTGAACTAACCCTAACAACTTCTGGCGTCTTAGCACGACTGGCTGACCAGCCCGATGGCGCATTCTTGGTACGCGCACTCGCGGACCCATCGAAGCTTGTCCTCAGTGTCAACTTTAGAGGTTTGTTCGGTGCGCCCTTGCTTGGCTTGGCTTGGCAATAGGTGCCTCATTCCAGCTGTGCTTGGCAGGCAAGCCCACTCATCATCTGTGCCAAGCGGATGATCAAGGTCGCTGGCACGTCAATGGCAAGCTCTACGGCGACGGCTCATCGCTCGCTGTGGTACTCCCCTCAGACATTGATTCTGACGCGTTCAATCCGGGGTCCGTCTCTTTCTTGTATCCATTTGTGAGGGCTCACGCCCGATATTTGGACCGCTGGTATGTGATGGAGGGCCCTTAGGTCATTGCACATCTGGCAAAGCCGCAAACCGGTTGGCCCGTGCAACTGCATACCCCCATAGCTGTCCCATCACCAACACCTGCAGGCACATCGAACCCCGTGTCTGGCGCGACCACCAACACCCCCGTGGGTACCAGTGGTCCGATCAAGCCCTTTATCAATCTCACCAAGACTGAGGCCGAAGGTAGGGTATAGCGTGCTTCTGGCATTTTGCTCGGTTGTTCATACAACTACAAAACAAGAACTCGAAGAAGGTTTAAAAAAAGGGGCAAACCTGTTTTGACTCCCTTTTAATGGCTCGCGAACTCCACAGCGCGTTTAGGGCAGGCCGGCTTGGCTGAAGGCACGGCTCTTTTCCGACGGCGCCACGCCGACAGTGACAAAGATTACGTCATTGTCATTGTCTACAAAGGTGCGGGTCTTGATTCGATGGAGGCGAGTCACAACAAGACACGAGGTTGCAGGACCTCACGTCTGCTCGTTCTGCTGTAGGCAAACCCACGCATCACTTGTGCACGCGCATGGAGATGGGCCACCCCTTCACTATCAACCAAACCACAACAACTGCCACCTCGTTGGAGCAGATTGCAGAGCTGCTGCAGACTGCCCACCCTTGGTGGCCAGTACCACTCCAACAGCTGATTCAATCAGATGAGGAGACAGAGGTGGGTCGTGCCCCATCCACACACGCACACACGCACGCACGCACACAACGGCTGAGCTGCCTCGAGCTCGCATCTCATCCCTAGCACGCCGTGCACGGCATATCATGGGTGCGTCAGGCATCGTCAACCACCCTCGTTCACCACACGCCGGATGCTGCTTCGGTTCCCGCCCTTCCTGCCCGTGTTGAAGAGTTGGCGCCTCCAGCTCTATCTTCCACTGCACCCCCAACCACCGCCACCATCATGCCGGCAAGCCCCACGTCGGCATTCACACCAGCTTTGCAAGGATCGCCATTTCGCCATTTTTACCATGGCAACTTGGACAAAGCCACAGCGGAAGGTGTGAACTGCACTCACGGCACAGGGTGACGGAGCTTGTTCATGGGAGGGCGGCGATTGGGACAAGCAGCCACTCCTTGCTCACACCCAACCACGCTCTGCAGCTCGCTTGCAGGCCTGCGGCAACGAGGATGGAACCTTTCTGATCCGAGCACGAGCCAACACGGCAAACGCAGACCTCAATGAATCGGTCATATCTGTCGTTTACAAAGGCAAGCCGACCCACCATCTGCTAATCAAGACCGGAAGCCACGCCTACGCTTTAAACAAAGGGACCGTCGAAGCTAGCAATTTAAGCGAGGTGAGTTTTTGACTGATGGGCCAGCCTTGCGCAAGAGCACAGCAACACGTGAATGACCGCATAGCCAAGCCATTGCAGGGTCAATGGGCGAATGCTTGCGCAGGCCTCCATTGCAAGTGAAGCATCTTAAACTGCGCATGATGGCTGTTAGGTGGTGGAGAGTTTGCGCAACGCCAAGCCATTCTGGCCCGTACCTCTGATCAAGGCCGTGGCGCCTCCTGTATCGCCGATCGACTCATCTTCTGCCCCCAAAGCTACAACCACGGTTGAACCATCAAGACACCCTCCCACAATTCTGCCGGATGCGAGAACTGCGGCAAAAGCGGCAGCACCTTTGCCAGCAGCGGGAGCTGAACAAGACGTCCACGGCGTGCTGTCAAAGGATCAAGCAGCTGCCCTGGTGGAACACGAAGCAGCGGGGATGGATGGTGTCTATCTCTTACGACATTCCAAGGGAGGTGGATATATTATCTCCGTGCTTTATCACGGCAAGTGCACACATCATCTCGTGCAGAAATCTGAACCCGGTGGCACTTTTGTTGTGAATAAGAAGGTGACCAAGGCTGTGACTTTGGACGAGGTGGTTGTTCTCTTGCAGTCCAAGCATCCTTGGTGGCCGGTGCCGTTGGTGCGGCGGATTTCAGTTGGCACTTTGCCCTCAGCAACCACATCTGCTCCGACGACAACGGCAACACCGACCACGACAACGACACCGACACCGACACCGAGACCAGCACCGACACCGACAACGGCAACACCGACCACGACAACGACGACAACGACAGCGGCCCCTATGGTGGCAATCACGGCCGATACTGGACATCAAGAGAATGACAACCAGACGGATGGTCAGTATGACAATGCAGAGGACATTGAACCCCTTGATCCTTTGCAAGCCAGTGGTGTGGCAGAGCCGCTACACCAGGATGGAGGCTACATGGACGTGGTGCCCGATGCCGCCCTGGCGCTCCAGGTGCTGGCCTCAGCTTCATCCAAACTTGGCGTTTTACCAGACGAAGCTTCGGCCCACATTGCTGCCCTTCAGCAAGAGCGCTCAGCTCTCGCATCTTTGGACACCGGCTCCTCATCGTCGCTTGCCCATCAGCGGCGGATGTTGATTGCCGTGGGCCCTCGCTTTGCGGCGCTCTGCACCCCACCCGCTGACGATGGAGCCCGACGTCAAGCCCTTCGGACCGCCGCGGCTTCCGTGGCACGGTGGGAACGCGACTACGCTGCGACGTGGTTTGGCTCGCTGCCGGACATCAGTCCTGAGCTGCGTCCACAGCGGCCGTTGACACCACCGACAGATGCTCGCCCTGCATCGAGTCCCGATATGCCGGCTTTTTTCTTTGCATCACTGAATCAAGAGCGCGCAGAAGAGCTGCTGGCCACGCCCCCCATTATCGAGGGTAAATTTCTGGTGCGCAGTGTCCCAAGACGGCGGACCAATGACCACTTTATTCTGTCTGTTGTGCATGAGGGCCAGCAACGGCACTATCGTCTGGTACGCCGAGCGCCCACCGAGGCTCTGTCAGAGGTGGCCTCTCTGTCAGGCAGCGCCATCACCACCAGTCAATGGGAGGCTGAGGGAGCCGACTTATCGCGGGTCGATGCACAAGTGGAGGCCACCTTTCATCTTGAGCAGCACGACACCGGTTGCACTACGCTGGCTGCTGCGGTGGATCTACTACGCACACGCTTGGATTGGTGGCCAAGCCCATTGACTGCCGAAGTGAGCTCCCCTCAGGAAGAGGAGCGGATAGTAGCAGAAACAGCTTTTGCTGAACGCCAATTGGCGTGGACACAAGAGGAGGCCCGGCGTGCTCGACTTCGGCAGCAGGTACACGATGCTCACGCACAAGTGGAGCAGGATCGTCTGCGCACGGCCCAACAACGCCTTTTTGCCCCCCGGAAGCCGTTGCCCGATCCAGTACCCGTCTACATGAGCCCCGTAGCGCGTTTGGATGTGCTGTGTCAATCACTGAGCACGCTTCTAACTCGCCTGCCCCTTGCTCGAAAGCAGGACGAGCGAATTGCCAGTGAGCGTGCCGATCGACGCGCCCACTTGCAGCACCTCTTTCGTCAGGTGAAGTACACAAAACGCACTCCACCGTGATTGGCTTCGGCCCTTAATTGACGCCCTAAATTCGCATAATCATGCCTGGCCGACGTGCTCTGTCAAAGACGCTCTGCCAAGCCTTGACCACCCCCGCCATTCCGGCCTCACCTTGCCTTCTTACATGTTAACCAACAAACGCCTCTCGAACACCCCCAGCCCCAAGCAAGCATCCAAATTATTTCTAATCGCTGCTGTACACACACACACACACACACACACACACACACACACACACTTTCAGATTTTCATTTTTTATTTTATAAGAGAGGAGCAAAAGAAATGGGGTTCACGTGTCATCATCAGAGCTGACTTGAGTTGTTTTTTGACTCGAGCGTGACAGGGGCTCAGTTTGAGTGCGCGCACACACACACACACGCGCGCTCTCCGGGGTAGTTCCTGTGCTTGGGCTTGGTGGAGCCTGTTGATTGTTTGCGCTTCCGTGTATAGGCCTGTTTGGTATTCCATGTTCTTGAGTTTAGCACTGAGCCGCGCTTATCAGCACATCCGGAGTGCAGCTGCGGAACCGTCAGGCAAGCTGCCGCTTTTGTGACACGAGGCGCGGGTGGCGACAATCTTCAAGTCGACGAGCTCGGATTAGCCCGCCTCGTTCCAACAGTTCTTCTACTCAGTCGCGGAACGTCATGAGTGTGGCTTCGCGCGCGCTGGCGCGTTTTCGCATCAACACCAATGGGTTGCATTGGTCCATCTTGGTGCTCTACTTTTTTACCTCCTTTCTCGAATCCTTTCCCATGACGGCCTTTGGGGACTGGCTGCAAAATGACCTGCAAATGCCAGTGGCAGACCAGTCAAACTTTTATGCTTGCATCTTTATTCCCTGGACGCTCAAACCGTTGTATGGCTGGATATCTGAGCGCCTGCCCATTGCGGGTCGACGCCGCAAGCCCTACCTCATTGCGTGCCTGGCGCTCTCCGCCGTGAGCTGGCTCATCATTTCCCACTTTGTGCATACCACCAGTGGAGCCTATGGCTTGGTCTTGATGCGCACCACCACCAATGCCTTTGCTGAACTGTTGCTGGGCCTCTCCCTCCTTGACTGTGCCCAGCGCAACATGGCCAATGCTGGACACTTGCAGGCAGCGGCCGCCACGGTGCGCAACCTGGCCACCCTGGTGGCCTTGTTGGTGGGCCTGCCCATGTACCCGTGCCACGGTAGCCAGCCGCACATCAATTCACGCTCCATTCTCATGTTCAACGGGCTCGTGGGCATTTGCGTGGCGTTTTTGGGCTTCTACGTGCCGGATCCGCGCGTGGGCACCAAGGCGGACGCCACGCCCTTGATGTTGAACAAAGCTGACCGGCCTCAGGAGGAGAGAAGTGTGATCGAGGATGATTCAGACGCAATTGCGTACTCATCAGATCTCACCATCAATGGTGGGCATCCCTTGTCGGGGCGCGTGAATGGACGCTTCCCCACAGTGGAGCTGATCTTGCCCTCGCTGATGCTGTTCTTCGTCTGGAGTGCGTGTCAGGACCTGATGAACCATGCGCGCTGGCTCATCTTCCTTTACGTCGTCTTAGCCATCAACGCTGTGGTGCTGGGCTTGGTGCTGTTGAAGCTGCGCCAGCGTACCGTCACGATGCGTGGCGTGTTGGCGTCCGTGACCGGCATATGGCCGGCCGTGGTGCTATTTGTCATGAACGCAACCCCTACGGCGGCAGATGCCCTGTACAGCTTTCAGTATGCCGTGTGGCCCGAGCACGAATGCTACATTCAGACGCTGGAGATCGTGTCCTCGTGCGTAGCTCTCCTAGCCTCGACGGCCTTCTACACCACGTTATCGCGCATGCAAGGCTCGCGTCTGGTGACGATCTTCCTGGTGTGCAGTGGCCTCTCCTCGCTCGTCTCGTTGATGTGGTCGCCCTGGATAGGTGGCCAGATTGCAGGCACGGAAGGCCACAGCCTGCTCTACGCCATAGGCACGACAATTGTCACTGAAGCCGTGGCCGAGCTGGCGCTTGTGGCCGGGTTGGTGCTGGCCACGCAGGCCTGTCCCGTGGACGATGGCACCTCTGGAACCACCTACGCACTATACATTGCCTTTATGGATGTGGGTGACTCGGCCGCTGGCTGGATCACGGCCCCCATCACCAAGGCCCTTGGCATTGCCTACGATAATTTTGCACGCTTGAATACGCTCCTGTACATTGACGTGGGCGCAAGCGTAGGGGCCACCCTTTTGTTTGGTCCCCTCCTGTACCTCGGTTCTTACGCCGTTGGCCACGAGGCGCCGGCACCAGTTGAGCTGTCGAGGCCAGCGCAGGCCCAGGGTGACGACCTTAACGCACCTTTATTGGAGCCGGAATCGGCATCGTGCTGAGAATATTATCTCTAGCTTAATAGTTTGCCCTGCACGGTGCCAGGCCCTGCTCATTTGTTCATACTACAAACGCCGTGATAAGCAGCCTCCGTCTTCTAGCCCCCATCTGGACTGATTGCATTTGTGGCTGCTGCATGTTTGTTTTTTTTGTTGTTGTTTTTTTTTTGTTTTTTTTTTCAACGGAGAAGGCTTGGAATTTTTGTTTTTTACACTACCTGTGACTCGGCCCCGACACGTGCCGTTGCCTTCCATAGAAGAACCCTTAAGCATACTCGCATTCGAAACCATCACTGGTCCGCCAGTTTATTTCCTTTTGACTCTAGTTCTTTCAAACCATTCCGCACACCCACGTCTTCCTTAGCCCACAGTCGCCCCCTACATAGGGAGCTCGAACATGTTCTCAACATGCGTTCCAAATATCTGTTTCGCAATTTTTTTTGTTCTTCGCCATACGCCACCATGCACGTGCCCCCTAAGGCTGCAACAACTCCAATTCGATACAATGCCATCTCTCTCTCAAACTCTTTCTCTCTCTCTCTCTCACTCTCTCTCTCTCTCTCAAACTCTTTCTCTCTCTCTCTCTCTCTCTCTCTCTCTCTCTCTCTCTCTCTCTCTCTCTCTCTCTCTCTCTCTCTCTCTCTCACATTCAATTTTCCTTTGTGTCTCTGCTCTTTTTAAATTTTCTCTCTTACCAATCTCTCTCTCTCTCTCTCTCTCTCTGATGTCATCAAAAGCGAAATTACTCCTCCTTCCTCCAAAGTTTTGCACAGGTTATACATGTAAGCCCCTTTCAAAGGGGCACACAAGCCAAATCTACCACACACACGCATCAGACATGGTTGTGCAAATGTCAGACTCGCTGCCATATTTTTTTTCTCTCTTCTCGCACGCGCGCGCGCACGCGACACCTCTCTCTCTCTCTCTCTCTCTCTCTCTCTCTCTCTCTCTCTCTCTCTCTCTCTCTCTCTCTCTCTCTCTCTCTTCCCTTTTTCATGCGCACCCGCATTTGCGCAGGCACTGGCTGACTGTCAGCAGCTCTGCCTTGGTCTGGATTAAGAAGAAAAAAAATAGATTGGTCGATCACTACTTTATCCATCCATACCTCTGACCTGCTGGCTGTGGTACTGCGTGTTGCTCCGGCAAAGGCAACTGGAGGCTGGTTGAAGGCTCGGCGCGGCACATTGCCCCGGGCCATCGGCAAGCTGGTTGGACGTTTTTCGCAATTGCCGCTGCCAGGCACACATCTCACGAGCCGGTGAACATGGCTAGCGGCAGCCATGCAGCTTCGACGCGAGTTGTCGTGGTGGCCTTGGCTCTGCTACTCGCTGATGTACCCGGAGCTCATGGCATATCGCTAGGGCGCCTGGTCGAGGCGAACGATCGTGGCTTGGACCGTCCCCACTTGAACTGGTCATGGTCCCATTACACGCTGCCTCCGCGCACATGGCCATCCATGCTAGATGCCCGCCTCGGACCTTGGGCGACATTTGCCTCCAATTACCAGGCCACGCATCAGCTCTATCGAGCCAGCCCCTCGGATGAAGCTAGCGCCGCCCAGCTCACGACCCAGCTGGAAAACCTCCTTGACGAACCCCTGCTTTTGCAACTCCTGAGCGATAACGACATCCTCCGTCTTCGCGAAAACGGCACTCGCTTTGCCATGGACAGTCGTGTAGCGACCTGGAGCCAACTCTTCTCACAGCTCTTTGCTCGTCAAGCTGGTACATCGGCCATCTTCTACCCAGAAGAGCTAGACGAAGATTTGCGAGACAGCCTTGCTCCCCTTGCAGCTGACCCTTTCCAGAACGCTTTGCGCGCAGCTTTCGACACAGACGTGACCCAACATTTATACGCCACAATGCCCGGTGGCCGTGCCTTGGACCCCCACACTGACGGTGGGGACGTCTTTGTGCATCAACTCGCCGGTCACAAACATTGGGAAATATGCGTGCCGACCACCAATACTACCTGTCAAAACTGCACCCACGGCGCGCAGGCTCTTCTCGCAGAATTCGAACGTTCTAGCTTCCAAGGTGGGTTTGCTTTGCCACAAGGTTGTCTGCATGGCCGTTTCCAGCTGCACTTTGCCCTCTTCCTGCCGCCCGGTCACAACGGGTGCGGCTCTGACCTCAGACCTGATGATGTCCAGCTTCATGCCCCTCAATTTTGTATGAACCCATTTTGCCTGCACAGGCTGCACGTCATACAGCTACGAACAGTTGCAGAACATGTCGTGCTTGAATTTGACGCTCCATGCGGGTGATTTGCTTTATCTACCCCGGGCCCTGGTCCATCACGCTTGGACCGACAACAGCACTGCCAGTTACCACATGACATATCAACTCAAAAGCGAACGTGGTACTCTGCGTGACCGACTGACAACCCAGTGCCTGCAACAACACCATACCCAACCCGCCGCTTGGACCGAGTGGTGCGAACAAATGGACATTGTGGCCAGCCAAACTTTTCCAGAGCTGGCCGCTGATATGCTGCGCCTAGCAACCTTACTCTCTCCAGTACGTACGCGTGCTCTCCAAATGCCCAAAAGAAGCAGTGTGGGGTGAAGTATTGATTGGGGTCCTGATTGTCGAGATGCCACTCTCACACGTTACACGTTACGCCTCCTGGTTTTTCTTGTTTGGTTTTTTTTTTTTTTTTCTTGTGTGTGTGTGTGTGTGTGTTTGGCCAATTCCCCAGCGTCCCGTGGACAGCTTGCTCTGGCATCTTGCCTCTGATTACAAGAACGTTCTGACTCTGACACCTGAAGCCCGTGCCCGCCGCGTTGTTGGCGTGAGCAAGGACAACATACCTGCCAAGTATGCTGCGCGCAAGGGCTAACAGGTTTCGACGCACAGCTCAAACCGTTCAGACGGATGGCTCATCCCATGTTGCATCCATCGCCGCCTTGCAGCTGCGACTCGGTTTCCAGCTGCAACGAAGATTGCAACGAATGGTGCGATTCAAACTGCGCATGGTGGGGTGCTAATTGCAGGGACAGCTGCGATTCAAATTGTGACCACAACTGCAACCGTACGTAATGCATATCAGTGAGCCCATCATCTCAAAGCTGCACCTGGTCCATGTGCTGTCTAAAATTATTGCCGTTTGCACACCGTTTTCAGAGGCGACGTGTTCTGGCAATTGTCCCGTCGTTCTTCCAGCTCGAAAGAGCGGCGTATGCACTGTTGGTAAGCAACCCTATCACCCGTCTGCTCATGTGACTTTGGTATGCATTGACTCACGCCACCTCTTGGGACTCGGCCACGTCGTTTTCTTCTCAACAGCATCGGTCACTTGCAATCAAGGGCAATATTTCGTCTCTGACCAAGACAGCTGTGCGGCATGCCCTGCGGGTAAATCTCAATATTTGGCTTGCTTGCAAGGCAGCAGTCTGCAAACGCTCCCTGACTTTGCACTCAACTCTCGTTCAAACCAATCAATCGCCACCTTGTGCCGCTCCCTCTTTGTTTTTGTACCAGGCACATATCAGGAAGCGACGCAACATGTGTTCGCATCCTGCATTACCAAGAGGGCGAGTTGCGCCTCCGGACATCGATTCGTCGCCTCCAATTCCCTTACGGCAGACAACGAATGCGTTCCCTGCGCCGAGAATGAGTTCATCGACGAGTCTGGTCATACCGTGACAACATGCACACCCAAGTCCACGACTTGTGGTGCTGGCCAGCGGTTGGAATATTCTGCGACCAACACCATGGACAATGCTTGCATCGCGTGCGAGGGCATTTTGTTCTTTCAGGACTTGACAACGCACAGTGAAACCAGCTGCAAGCCCAAGCTCGCTGGCTGTGGAGCTGGTTATGCACTGGCGCTTTCGGGTACAAACACTGCTGACAACACGTGTGTCGCATGTGAGGCTGGCCGGTATCAAGATTTAGCCTGGCACAGCGAGACGACATGCAAACTCAAGCGCACGACTTGCGGGGCTGGCTTTGCACTTGTTTTCTCCACCTCCACCTCCGCCGACAATTCTTGTGCATCCTGTCCTTCAGGTAAGCATGGTAGCCCTCCACCATCTAGCACGGCACCCGGAAGCTAGCTCGTTTATCCCATTCGAGCTTTACGAGCTTGTTTATTTTTTTTTTTTTGTTTTTTTTTTTTTTTTTGTTTTTTTTTTGTTTTTTTTGTTTTTTTTTTGTTTTTGTTTTTTTTCCGATCAGAATTTCCCAGCCGCAAGAAAGCAATGTGTGCGCTGGCTCACTGAAGCGGCATGCATAATAGGGTATTATCAATCCCAAAATGACTTTAGGGGAACCACCTGCACAGCAAAAACCAACTTGTGCAATGCCAACAGCCGCGTGAGCAATCCCAGTTCTACCACAGCGGACCGCATTTGCGTTGCCTGTCCCAACGGTTTGGCCTGCTTGACAAACACGCTCCTCTTTGCGCCCGGAACGTGAAAGTGATTTCACAATCACATTGTTCGTGTCGCCGTTGTGCCATGTCTCAGGCCAATATCTGAACGCCTCCAACCATACCTCGGACACCTGCCTTGGTCTGATACTGCCTTGTTTCAAGTCGCTTCACCTGCCGGCTCCACAAACAATACATTAGGCTCCCCTGCCTATATATCAGGCGTGAATTTCTTTCTCACAACATTGGCTTGTACGTTGCAACTAGACTGTCCGGCTGGTCAGGTGGGCATCGGCGTGGGCCAGGGCTGCCAGGTCTGTGGCTATGGCACCTTCACCTCAGTGCCAGCGAGCACAAGCTGCGAAGGTATGAGCACGTGGTGGGCAGTTTGCCCTTTGCTTATTCGCTCAAGTACTTCCCTCCATCATTTGGTAAATCCCTCAACGAGGATACGCATGTCATTCCACGCTCAACCGTTGACTGCTTTTGATTTTGCTTGGACTTGACTACTGAAGAATGCGATGCGTATCAGGGATATTACACCTCTACCATGGGAGCAACTTCTTGTGAGCAGTGTGATGCAGGTATGTTCATGAATCTGAACGTTCCGTTCGCCGCGCTTGCATGGCCCATCGATCGATTGCTTCGCGACGGGATGTCGAATCGGCATTGTTACCATCCTTACCATGATACCATGACTCTGCCTTGCTTTGTTAATTTTCAGGCGCCTTTCTATCTTCTGAGCCCGGTACACCGGGCGTTTGTCTCACCTGTGAGGCAGGCAAGTACCGGGGCAGTGAGCTGGTGTCCGAGTGCCTGCCGTGTGGTGCCGGCCTGTATAGCGATGCACCAGCCCAAGCTTCTTGCAAGAGCTGCGAAGCGGGCAAGTTTTCTGCCCAACCCGCCAATACCGACTGTCAGCCCTGTGCAGCAGGCTCCTTTGCGCCCCAGCAGGCCACCTACTGCCAAACCTGCCTAGATGGGACATATCAGCCCAATTCGCAGAGTGGTGACTGCTGGCCGTGTGCCGTTGGCCTGACGGTTCTATCCAACCGCACGGCGTGTCGTGGTACGTGCGGTATTACCCCAGCTCTTATTTGTTTGGCGCTGGTTGCCACGTGACTTTCGGTGTGCCCAAGGAGACCCCGTTGCCTCTGGGCCTGCTTTCGGCTGTCTGGCCCTCTTTGCTTACGCACGCCCTTACATGTCAAATCAGACATTACTCCGCCTGTCATACATGTTCCAAGTTCACCTTTGGTTACTGAAGTCCTCAACATGTCTTTCACGCTGCCGGCCGTCACGGCCTCTGACACTTATGATGGTCCCTTGGAAACCAATACGGATGATAGTTTAGATATTGGTATGCCCACTTGGCTGCCTATTCTCTGCGGATGAACTATTGAATATCTCAGATGGTGTTCGCACACACGCACGCGCGCACACGTCCTTACGTCGCACTGTATGATGCATGTTATGTAGCTCAAGAAGGCGTGCAGACCTTCAATTACACCGCCCAGGACTCTGCTGGAAACGTTGCTTGGGCCATCTTGACCGTGGAAGTGCTGTCAGGCCAAAAGCCTTACATCACCCTTCGGGGTGACAACCCCATGCATCAAGAAGCCGGCCTTCCGTTCATTGACCCGATGGCTGACTTGTATGATGCTCTTGATGCGTCGGTTGGTGTACAAAGTGATGCCTCCTCACAAATTGACACAGCTCAGCTGGGCACCAGCCTGATTACTTACCAGGCAACAAGGGCTGACAATCAAGGTCTATGGGCCGAACCCGTTCAGCGTACTGTAGTCATATCCGACACCTTGGCACCGGTGCGTTGTTTATTTGTTTTGTTTTGTTTTGTGTTTTGTGTTTTGTGTGTCTTTTGATAGCTGAGCGGCACCTCCACAGCCCATTACCAGTCTTGCCCTGACGTTTCTTGACTCGTTGGCTTTATGCGGTGTTCCTGGTTTTCGCCTTGTATAGGCACTTGAATTGCGTGGATCAAGTCTTGTTCAGGTTGAGGCCTCCTTTGAGTACTCAGAACCTGGCTGGCGAGCTTGGGACATTTTTGAAGGCAACCTTTCAAATACTGTCACTGTGAACCCGGCACCAGATTCGATCAGCACCGCAGTACCGAGCGGGACTCGCATCCTGCTTACCTACACCGTCATGGACGGCTCGGGAAATATCAACTCAACGACACGGACGCTGTTGATCGTGGATACGCGGGCCCCAAATCTTCAGCTCAATGGCAGCAACCCGTTCATTTTGGAAGCAGGCCAGGACTTTGTTGACCCAGGCGCATGGGCTGTAGACTTGCTGGATGGTCCAGTGGCAGTCAGCCTTTCGGGGTCCTATGAGTCAAGGCCATCTCAAGGTGTACCAAGCAACTACTCTCTCACATACTCTGCCCGTGACGTGGTTGGAAACATTGCCTCGGTGGGGCGCATTATTACGGTCGTGGACACCACTGCACCCAGCGTCGACGTCACCCAGGATGTCTTGACCCTGGAGGCTGCCCCTGTAGAGGGAGTCTACGTGCTGCAGAATACTTGGTATACCTTGGCAGACAACTACGTTCAAAGCGGCCTGCAAAAACGCTTGCAAAGCAATGTGAGCAACTTGCCCCTGCAGCCGCCCTTCACGCCATTCAGTGCTGTTATCGAGCTAAGCGTCGCGGACAACAATGACAACACCGGCTTTGGTTTTCTAAACGTCATCTTGGTGGACACAACAGCTCCCATCATCAACGTCACAAACAGCACTTGGCCCGGCGGGACGCCTTGGGTCGACGAGCAGCCGTGGTCCGCTTCGGATCGTGTTGACGGCAACTTGGACGCAGATGTTGTGGAGATTCAGCTTGCATCTTTAGGACGGGAGAGCCCGCACAGTGTGAGCTGCGCCACTCCCGATTGGTCCGTATTGACATCTGCCGCCGCTGATGCCTACCAAGCACAGCGCTGGGCGCGCCTGTCCAAGGAATCCTTCACTGAGGTCGACTCGCACGCGCCCGCAGGCAGTGTGTTTTTGGTCTCATATTCGGCAACGGATGAGGCGGGCAATCTGGCCACGGCACAGCGCTCGGTCACAATCACAGATACGTTGAGTCCCACAATCAACACCACTGCAGGCGATGTCCAGCTCGTCAATTTTGGTGATGAGTACGCGCGCTTTTTTGATGATACCACGGCCAATGATGCGCTTGACGGTGACTTGACTGCCCACCTCTGCTACCTTATCAGCGTTTACAATTTTGAAGGAGAATTGCTGCAGCAGGTGCCATCGGGTGCCGAGCCGGGAGAACTTTTACCGGCTTCCAATCAAAGCTGGAATCGGATAGTGTCGCAACGTGAGGCGCAAGCAGAAGGACGCCTGCAAGCCAGCGGCATTCCTTGGTCTGTCGCCATTGCTGCAGCCTTCCCCGTGAATACGCAGCTCCTTGTGCAATATGACGTGACCGATGGGGCCGGTCGCACTGCCAGCGCCTCGCGCTGGGTCAAAGTTGTAGATCAGGTGGCCCCCGTGATTTCAGTCCACCCTCACGCAGCAGATATCATCTTCGGCACCCGGGTGCCCGTGAGCTGGGCAGAGGCTTTGGACAACCACGACGGCAACATTACCGTATATATGCGTGTGTCTGGACTCAACAACGTGGATGTTGAAGCGCCAGGCGACCATGCCGTTAACTACACCTGTCGTGATCAGTTTGGAAACACGGCCACGGCAGTCCAGCTGTTCACTGTGCAACCTTTCTCCCGCCCAGACGCCGCCAACCTTGTGCGGGTGACGATGAGCCTGCCCTTGGCTTCGGCGCCGACTGCAGTCGAAGTTGAAACCATGCTACGCAACGTGCTACGAGAACCGTACGTCTTTGTGGTTGGGCGCGTGGCAGCCGATGATCATGACACGTCCATGTTCAATGTGGAGCCCGGTACCCGGCGACTGGTCAGCATGACGACCGAACGCCGCCGGCTCCAGCGACGCTGGTTAGCTGCAGAGCAGATGACAAACTTTTATATTTGCGTTCGAGACCAGAACACGTTGGCGTGGTTACCGGCAACAGCGTACGTCTTGCGTGTGCGGGATCGCTTGAGCGCCAATGGGCAGGTGGCTGATGTAGACGTCGCCAACACATCGACCGCGGCAAGCTCTGGCCTCGCAGCCACAACTCTTGCCATGGCAGTTGCAATCCCAGTTGTTCTGTTGGCAGTCATTCTTAGCGTGGTGCTTGTTCGTCGTCGCCAGCAAACCAATCCCGCCAAACTGGCAACCCCTCTTGGCCCTATCGAGCCACAAACGCATGCGATGATGATCAACCCGACCTACAGGCCTAGTATGTCGGGAAAGAGTTCGCTTGAAATGTATCAGACAATCGATGATCAGGATGCCAGCGCTGGTCCTAACGACCGGCAGCATGGCAAGCAACGAATGAGACTTGAACAGGGCAACGGCGCGCACTCGTTGGAAAGTGATACCGACCGCCTATTTACTTTTAGCCTTGATGAGGTAGCTTCTGATGAGGAGCCATGGGGCTTGTACGACTCGCCCAATGCCCAAGACCAGACCGCCATGCCCATGCCCCTTGCCCAAGATAGCGAGGGCTATCAGCAACCCGGTGGCTTGGGGCAGCAGGAGTTGTATGATTTGCCCAATGCCCAAGACCAGACCGGCATGCCCGTGACCATGACCATGCCCCTTGCCCAAGATAGCGAGGGCTATCAGCAACCCGGTGGCTTGGGACAGCAGGAGTTGTATGATTCGCCCAATGCCCAAGACCAGACCGGCATGCCCGTGACCATGACCATGCCCCTTGCCCAAGATAGCGAGGGCTATCAGCAACCCGGTGGCTTGGGGCAGCAGGAGTTGTATGATTCGCCCAATGCCCAAGACCAGACCGGCATGCCCGTGACCATGACCATGCCCCTTGCCCAAGATAGCGAGGGCTATCAGCAACCCGGCGGCTTGGGGCAGCAGGAGTTGTATGATTCGCCCAATGCCCGAGACCAGACGGCCATGTCCATGCCCCTAGCCCAAGATATCGATGGATATCAGCAGCCTGTGGCCTCCCATCATCAAACCTTCAGCCATGCCACTTCCATTGTCGATGATTTCTCCATCCAGTCAACCTATGATACGCCGTACGCTGTGCTGAGCTCCGATCCACCCGCTTCAACTGATTACTCGGAGCCAAACGAGGGTATACGTCGCAGAGCGTATTTCGAGGTGGCCTATGCCGTTCCTGATGCTCCACACTCAAATTTGGCACCACGCGAGGATTCATCAACAGACACCTACGATGTCCCCAGCTCACTTCCTCGAACAGTACCGGAGGTTATTTCTGGTGAGAATGACCTTGACGCCAATGCTGAGTACGGCGTTTTCAAGTCAGGACCTGTACAGATGGCATCAGGGGCAAGCAAGACCTTGGACGTTGAAGAAGAGGTGTATGGCTTTACTGATCGCGAGATTCCGCTCGCTGTTCAAGTGCAGGCTCATCCCACATATGTGGAAGACCTTCCTCGCGAAAAAGTGGAGCGCATGTTGCTCGACCGGCCTGTTGGCTCTTATTTCTTGCGCCATAGTACGAACAATGACACTTTCGTGGCATCGGTGCTCGTTCGCGATGCAAAAGTTGCCCACTATGTGTTGGATGAGCAGGGTGGTGAGTTGCGCTTTAATCAAAACCCTATACCGGGGGCCCAAACCCTGAGCCAGGTGCTATTGCGCCTGCAACGCGAGCCTGGACGCGCTTGTCTGGCCCCCTTGCGCTCTGAGCGCTGGCTTGTCGAAGATCTTCCCAGCTGTGTGCGCGAACATCAAGCCTTGACTGCACAACCATGGTTTCACGGAAAGATTTCGCGTGAAGAGACCGAGGCACGCCTCTCTCAAGCTGACCAAGAGGGAACCTGGTTGGTGCGGCATCGCCAGGGCCAATCATATGCTTTGTCTCTGTTGCGAAGTCATAATGTAGTGCACCACTTGTTGGATAAAGACACGGATGGATTCGTGACTGTGAACGGACACCGTCTGCAGCCACGGCGCCGTACCATGGAAGCAGCCGCAGCCTTACTGCAGCTCCAACCGCCCTTGCTCAAAAAGCTTTCCTTGTCACATCCGTTACCTGTGGAGTCGGCAGCCTGAACGAGATCCCGACGAGCCAAAAGTACACGTGTGAACCCCTTTTACCGTTAAAAATGAGGCCACATGATTCTAGCATATATGTGGGGATGATGGTCCTGCCTTTCTCGTCCCCAATTACGACCGAGTCGCCATGAACATAGGAACTGTTTGTTCTCGAGCTTTGACCAAGAGAGCTCTCCCATGCTATCTATATCTTTTTAATTGAATCTTCTTGGGTTCTGAGCTGGTGATGTGGGCTGCATCTCAAAGCAAGGCAGCTTTTCATTTTGAGCTTTTGTTTGCGCTCCTTCCACGCATTTGAGCACTCCCACTGCTTTCGCACACACCCAGCGTTCGTCGAAACGGAAACGTGTGAACCCCACTAAGACCCCGCGATCCCTGGCACCTGCCTTGGGGCGATAAGCTTGTGACTACTGTTCTCTCTTTGCGGTCGTGGGTTGCACTTTCCCTATCCTCGGCTCTACAGCCTGGTCTGGTCATTGTGAATGCTTGCCGATCGCAGCTGGTTCAACTGACCTCAAGACACCATCAAAGCTTTCGGGACGGAGCGACGGACGGCTCTCGAAACGCTTCCTCAAACCTACGCGCTTCCTCGCAACCCAAAACTGGCCTCCAGGCGCCCTGGAGCCTGAAATGGTAGTGATTGAAAACTTCGATCGCCCGACCGCCCTTCCCATTCCTTGCGCTGGTCAACATCGTCATGCACACCCACCAGCCAATTCGGTGCCTTGGCAAAGGAATATTGGAGGAGCCTGACACGAAACCTGACACGAAACCTGACACGAAACCTGATACGGAATCTGCCGCGGAACCTGTTCATGACCCATCGACCACAACGGCTCCGCTTGCCGCGCACGTGATTGAGGGCCTCCGAACTAAAGTCCAGAAGAAGTCGCAACGCCTGCAGACTTTTGGCTTTGATCCCTATTTCTCGGCCTACATTGCCGTGACCATGCTCATGGGCCACCGGCTCAAGACAGACCTAGCAACGGCCTGGTACCCTCTTTGGGACAATGTCATGGTACCCTTCCTCGAGAGTACCCTGAACCGCGGCTTTGCAAGTCCGGACACAACCCCAACGTCCTTGGAAGAGGCTCGAGCCCACCTGCGCAAACAGTTTGGCTTTCACTTGGGCGTCGCCGCCCTGGCCCGAATGTTGGACGCTTCGACGAGCAATTTTACTCGACTCGATGAATTCGATGAGTGGGTACAGGCGGTGGATTGCATGTTTCAGCACGAACCGCTTGAATACACCATGCTGACCAAGGTCCTGATGCTGTGCAAGCTCCAGCGCCAGTGCAATTGCAGTCGACTGGTGGAGCGCCTCGCCACTGCGGCACACCAGGCTACATCTGGTTCGGCGTCGACTTTGGCTAAAGTCGTGGCAGAAGCTCTCGATGGTTACGTCCCGACTCGTGATATTCTTTTCAGCGTGCCAAGCAACCGGACGGCGCCCAAGGGGCCGACGACTAGCTCGGCCTCCGGACCCAAGCCGGCTAGCAAGCGTGCCGCCAGCTCCCGCAGCCGTCCAGCTCTCCGTATTCCAGCCAAGCTCCGCAATTCTGAAGAGTTCACCCAGCTCGACAAAAGCGACAAGCAAGCTCGATACAACTTTGCTCGAAAACATCGTCTTTGCTACCACTGCTTCGCCGACGACCACCAGAGCAAGGCGTGCCCAAAAAACTAGGGCCCGGGGTCGGGGAGCCTGCATCTTCTACTTACCCGGTCCCCAACCCAGAAGGCGTGCCATCGCAGGCAGCACAACCATGCTCCAACTTTCCAGCGACCTCTTGTTAGCATCAAATTCGTGCTTGGCCTCCAGACGTATTGGACCCTGGCACCTCTACCCCCAGCTAGTGGAGGGTTACCGGGCAGATCCTGACTGGCAGGCCATGCCGACCCCAACAGCAAACCACCTAGGCGTGGGCGCCTTGGTATTCGATTCAGACGAAGCTTGATTCTGCAACAGGACTCCTCTACTACGCTCTCCAACTTTCGAGCAAGGTTATCAGCACCTCAGCAGATCGACATGGGTTAAGGCCCTGTTCGTGACTCATTGCTCGTCGAGCACCATCCGTTACCTGTGGAGTCGGCAGCCTGAAGGAAATCCAGACGAGCCGAAGTGCACGTGTGATATGATTCAACATAGGGATGATGGTCCTGCCTTTTTCGTCCCCGATTACGACCGAGTCATCATGTACATAGCACTGTTTGTTACCGAGCTTTGACCAAGAGAGCTCTCCCATGCTATCTATATCTTTTTAATTGAATCTTCTTGGGTACTGAGCTGGTGATGTGGGCTGCATCTCAAAGCAAGGCAGCTATTCGTTTTGAGCTTTTTTGTTTTTTTTTGTTTTTTTCCTCAATGTTCTCACCTTTAAAAAACTTAAAAACCTGGGCTCAAATAACTTGGTGTGTGCTCAATGGTCAGGCCACAGGTGTAAGGGATAAGCACAGGTTCATCCATTGAGCCTACAAGGGCTTGTTCGTGCGCATCCAAGCTTTAAGAAAGCTTGTTAACAAACAGCTCATGCTAAAAAAATTCATCACATTTCAAGATTTGCTCTGAATTTAACTTTGTTTTCGGCAGTTCCCATAAGAACAGGTTTTTTCCTCCCATCCCAGGCTCCATTTCGAAATTTACTCAAGCAAACTCGAAACTGAAAGAGAGAGGACGTGCTACAATTCGGAATGTGATGAGGTTTCATGGTGGCCCAAGAGCTTGATGAGCGCAAAATCACGATTAAGTTCTGCAAGTTCGTGCAGGGTTCGGCCATGCGTTCCAACAGCATTGGGACTAGCGCCATGTTCTAATAACAGAGACACGGCTAGCGCCCACACAGTCGGGTAGGGGTATCAGTGCCCAAGCGTGACATTGTTAGTGTCAAATCCCCGATTATGCACGGTTTTGTATGCCGTGGTGCCTGACAAACACGAGTCACAACTCACCTTTGTAGTTGCGGTTGGCATAGGCCATATGGATGGGGCTATCGCCGTCTCGAGCGCGCGCGGTGGGATCAGCACCTGCCCGGGGAAACAGAGTCGTATGCGTTAGCAATTCATGACGGATGGATGAGAGGACAGGCCTATGCTGTGCCACTTACCATGCTGCAGAAGCAGGTCGACAGCCGTCGTTTGATTGGTCTGAAGCCCGGTCAGGCGAATGAAAACACGAGTGAATGATCTGGTCAGCTCAACGGCCATACAAACGATTGGTCACTGGGTCCCAAAAGCCCGAATCGCACTCACCTTGACAGCAAGGTGGAGAGCACTCGCGCCCTTGGTATCACGTAAATTTACGCGGATCCCCTTTTCAAGGAGCAGACGCATCACCTGCAGGCTGCGACTCTCCACGGCCACAAAGAGTGGTGAAGTTCCCGTTGTCAATCGCATGTGAATCGCCGCCCCGGATTGGAGCAGTAGCTGAACGATGTCGAAGCTGCAAAGGGTAAAGAGGTTGTCCAAGCCTTTGAGCACTCGTGGAGGCATTCAGAAAGACAGTTCAAGCAGCAGCCCAAGTTGCTGGGGGCTGGAGCGACTCACTGGCCACGGCGAGCGGCCATGTACAAGGCAGTGGTTCGATAAAATTGTGAGTTGCAGGTGGCATTGACGTCAGCACCAGCATCCAACAACAGCTTGACCTAGACATTGAACGCTGAAATGAGGTTGTAATCGGAAGGGTCCTTTGAGCAACGGGTGTAAAACTTTGGTCCAACTACATACCAGCGCAGCACTACCATGATGAGCAGCAAGCATCAAGGGGGTGGCTCCGGAGCTTGCCACGCGGGCTTCCACTTGGGCATTCCGCTCAAGCAGGTAGCGAGCAACATCAACGCGATTCCCTCGACATGCGTAGTGCAACATGGTCTATGCCACAAGCGCCGATCAGTCTTGAAGTTCCGCGACACAAGAGTAAAGTATCACACATAAAATGCGACACACAGAGAATATTAGTGGCCCACCTGTTGGTCAGCGCCAACTGCTTCCATGCCCAGCGCGGGCTGCAGCGTTAGTAGACCGGTAATAATGGCCATGTGGCCCTGTTCGGCTGCAATGTGCAAGCAGGTCGAGTTGTCCCGAGCCGGTGCAAACGGGTTGCCACCGAATCTGCGCGTGCGTGCCAAATTCCGAATCAAGTATATGCCTGCAATGACAAATTCGGAGCCACAACGCCCAACAGCCAAACAATGACAACAAAAACACCGGCAGGCCTGCGCATTGTACGACGGGCATACCGCATAAGTAGCTGCATGGCCTGCGTCCACCCCAGGCTGCAGGCAAAGTACATCGCGCTCCAGCCTTCAAAGTTTGGTTGATTCGCATCGGCACCACCTTCGAGCAAGATGGCGGCAAGCTGAGGTCGAGAGGGTGCAGGTCAGGGATGAGTTCAAACACAAGAGCTGCTGCTGTTGGATGAAGGAGCTTGTCTATCATGTCGACCAGAATGCCTGCATTTTTGCATGACACACTTCAAGCCGACGGGCGATGAGTGCTCGCCAGAGAGCATTGTTGCCGCTACCCTTCATGGGGACATTGGGGTCTCCGCCATGGCTGAGCAAAAGCCGGGCTATTTCTGGCCGATTGTATTCTATAACATGCGGTTTTGGTGAATGTAGCACATCAGCATCATGTACGACAGTATGAAAGACACAGGCCAAGCGACACCATGACAAAGACTGTCCACACACCAACAGCGGTCCAAAGTGGTGTTGCGCCTTCCATCGAGTTGGTCTGTTGAACGCCGTGTTCCAGAAGTAGCTTGACAGTCTGAACGGTGCAGCCACGGGGGCGTATGACAGCGGGCGTATGAAATCCGTTAAAAAATGAGTCCCCTCTACTCAGCCGAGCAAGCTGCTTCTGGAATGGTATGGGGAATGTGCATCCGTGTTAAGACAGCGCACCAACCTCTAGATGGCCATTTTCGACGGCAGCGTGCAAGCTTGTAGCACCATTGCCTGCCTCGTACCCCGCAGCAGATGGATCTGCAGTTTGACGTCGTAGCCGTGGGACAAAGATAGTAAGGAGCTGCACGAGGACGAGCGGTGTTGGGAGCTGTGGTCTTGGGGAACTTGGAGTGGGCTTCAGACATACCAGAGCCTTGCTGGAGAAATTGACGGGACCATCGAAAGAGCTCCTCCTCCTCATCGGATGATTTTGGCGTATCGGTTGCGCCCACGACCGACTCGCTCGATGGTATAGCCAAAGCTCGCGTGTCAGCCGATTCGGGCATAGCAAAATTTTGGTTGGCGCCACTGGCCAGCAGTTCTTGCACAACTGCTGTAAACCCTTTTTGAGCTATTCGAGCATGCGATGTCAGACACAGCAGGGCGATTGGTACAAAGATCACGGTGCTTGGCATGCGCGCGCACCGGCGAGGTACATGGCGGTGGTGTCTCCGAGGAGCAGTGCGTTGACATCGGCATGGCAAATCTGCGTAGGCGAGCATTCGGTCACCGAGTAGCTACCATGAGACACCAAGCGGAAGTGAATTTGCCAGCGGACAGGTATGGGCCCCGTTGGGCCTCGAACCTTGATGAGGGTGCGTGTAGCAGCTGATTGATTGGCGTCCGCGGCCACGTGCAGAGGTCGGCCTCCATTGCTCTTCACGCTTTCAGGATCAGCGCCTTTGCGACAGAGAAGCTCAATGGCCCCAATCTGGGTCAGCAATTCAAATTTAGCAAGGGGTTTGGACATTTCAGCTCAAACGTCTGGCATTGACTGCGCGGAGGAAAGCTAGAGCACGAGGGAATGGCTCAATTCAATCAGAATCACCACAAACCTGGCCCATCTCAACGGCAAAATGCAGCGCTGTTGAACCAGCAAATTTGTGCTTGGTATTGGGATTGGCACCATGGTTGAGCAACAGCTCCAGGACGGACACATGGCCCATGCTGGCTGCCACCATAAGGGGCGTGGCTCCATTCATGCCAACTAAGGATGAATGTGTAAAAATCGTCAAACAGGGTCAACATGGCTTAAGCATCCAGCAGAAACCAAGCTGTGCGTGCGGTAGAGCGGCTGGTTAGCAGACAGGATGGTCGACTGACCTTTCTCGGGATCGGCACCTTGCTCCAACAAGAGTTCCACGGTCCGTGATTGACCCAGCATGGCTGAACAAAAGGACATGAACAAAGGGTTGCGTGTTTGCGCAGCGTGAGCGAGATGCAGTTAAGCATGTCCTACAAGGGCAAGTCGGGCCAGGTCCAAACCTGCTGTAAGGAGAGGCGTGGTGCCATCCATCTTGACGGGGTCGACCAGGCTGCTGCCGGTTTCAACGTCAAGGAGGGCCATCAGCGCCTCTTCGTCGCCACGCGCCGCTGCTGTGTGAAGATCAGATCCCATGGTTTTGACCGAGGGTACCATTGAGAATTCCATCAGGAGTCGCGCCGAGTCTACATTGCCTGACTGCGAACGCATGTAGTTGACATAGGCATCCTGGCAAGATCGGGAGGGGGCCCGGGGGCAGCTGAGATGAGAGCGGTTGGGCTGAAATGATGAAACGGAGGAGGTGACTTTGGCTCAGGGGGACCATCATGAGACGGCCACATACCTCTGGAGAACAGTCACCCCAAAGGTCGCGATTGTCGGCATAGAGTTCTTGAAAAGCATTTGGCGCGATCGCCATGGGGCTCGCCCCCACGCTGTCGAAGCACGATTGCAGTACACCATTTGCTGACAGCGTCCATGCATGGGTTCAGACAGAGCGAGGCAGACCCACCTTTGGTAGGCAAGTGCAGTAGGATTGGCAGGTGCCGACGCGTCATTGATTGTCTGCGCTTATCCGCAGGCATGCAGCCGAGTGAGACAAGATCAGGGCTCGCAGTGTCGTGAGGCAGCAGCGTCATTGCCATGGTCAGCTGATATCTTCCAACGCACAGATGGGCGCTGCAGGTTGTTGATAATGTTGGCGGCAAAGTCCTCATCGGTACGAGCCCCCAAGACGAGGCCCAACAGCAGGAGGAGCGCCATTGCCCTGGATGCATGCATGTCGTGCCAACGAGCCACGAGATTCTCAGGGCCTTGCCACGCCTGGCCACTGGCCCAACACCACCAGGAAAGCCTCCGTTTCTCTAATCCATAAGCCTCTACCCTAAACAGCCCTCCCGTCTCCCGTCAACACGTTCATCTGCTACAAACAAGGCCAGAGACTCGCCCTCCTTCCGGCCCTCAACCCCACTGTCATGGACTTTTTTCAGATCTTGTTCAACACCACAAATCTCTTTCGAGCATTGCACAGAGAGAGAGAGAGTTTGAGAGAGTTTTGAGTTTGAGAGAGTTTTGAGAGAGTTTTGAGAGAGTTTTGTGAGAGTTTTGAGAGTTTGAGAGAGTTTGAGAGAGTTTGAGAGAGTTTGAGAGAGAGAGAGTCAAGAGTTTGAGAGAGAAGAGTTGAGAGAGTTTGAGAGAGAGAGAGAGTTTGAGAGAGAGAGAGTTTGAGAGAGCAACTTCAAGTTCAAGTGTATCAAAAAGCACACTACCGCTCATGAAGCACGAGACTGCAACATTTTTTTTTTCTTTCGCGCTGGCTGTTGGAACGACGTCAAGAGACAGCGCGCCGATCAATCCAGAGTGGGGGCAGCAGCGAGGGCGGGGTGATTGGTGCACGTGTGGATTGATTGCACTTGAGTGAGGATGGCAGCAGCTTTGAGTCTCATGGCTGCTACGGCAACGCGTGGCGTGGCGGCCAGGGGAGTGCGTGCAGCCATGGCGCGTGGGGTTGAAGCTCGTGTTCAGATGCTGCGCCATCCTTTGGGCAAAGGCCCCGCTGGCTGTCGACGATGGGCGGCGGTAAGGCTACGGCATGTATTGCACGCTAGACCTCTGTTCTGTGTCGTGCCATGGTTCATCGTGCTGAACAATGACCTGTAGCAATCCGCGGCCACGCCGACCACAACGTCGGATAATGGCAAAGAGGCGGCGGCAACAGAGCCCCAGCCCAACTGGGCCGACCGCATTGTCCAGAGCATGGGCTGGTTGGGCGGCTTTTATACCAAGAAACAGGTCAATTGTCAAGGGCGCCCTTGTGCTTCTCTCGCCTTTCCCTGTCCATCAACGCTTGAGTCCTCATTATGCCGGGTTTGTTGTAGGTCCAAATGAGAAACGCCAAGGAATTGTATTCCATTTGCGCTGAGCGCTCGCTACATCCACACTTTTATCGCGTCTGTGATCTCCCAGACACCTTTCAGTCATGGTACTTGATCACGCAGCTGCATCTTTATTTCTTCTTGGTGTGTATTTCGCTGCCGAGACCCGGTACATCGCACCACCTCAAGTCGGCCTCCAGAGTGGATTGCCACTTCTCGTATTTTGGCCTCCGTCGGATTCAAACACTTACCACTCAACACCAACCCAGCACCAACCAGCACCGCTGCTACGTGCTGTTTGCCTTCTCGCCATGCTCAATTTTTATTTTTTTTGGTTTTTCTCCTTGGGGGTAACAGGTGCGGTTGAAGCAAGCGGGCGGGGATGGGCCCTTTGTGTACAAACAAATGGTCACTCTTTTTTGGGAGGATGTGGACCATCGCATGCGTATCATGGGCGTGAGTTTCCCCTACACTGTACTTTTCCTTCATCTGATCATTGCAGGTGCTCATTCTTATGACCATCTGTTTGCTTGTTGTGCCTTTGGCATGAGCTAGGTGGATGATCGCACAATTCAGCAAGAGTCGCTTCGCGAACTCTTTTCCATGTTCTACGGCCTCATTTTTGCTTACGACGAGGGTGTTGCTGGTGATGACATGACATTGGCGGCGGCGTTGTGGCGGTACGTTGCTCTTTCCGGTTGTTGCCACAGCTGATGCAAGCATGCGCCGAATGCTGATGTCTGTGGCGGCCCTGTCTCGCAGCAACATGTTTCATGACGCTCGGGCTGACGTGGATGGTCAAAAGCTGGCCGTGATGGTCGAGTACGTGCGGCGGGAGATGCTGCGCCTGGATCAAACAGATGTGGCCAAGCTGATCGAGTCTGGCGAGTACGCCTTTGGTCCCTTGCCCGAGGTCCCGGCTGGTGCCAAGCCAGAGTCCCCTGCTGCCTAAGCCAGGCCCTGCAGGCTTTTCGGCACAGCCCTTCACATACATACACCGACGTTATCCCTTGCAATTTAAATAAGACATGAAAGCACCCACTCCAACCAAGAGCATAGCATCGAACCGTCCACTTTCTTTGTCGTGTGTGAGACGAGCCCGGATTCAAGATTGAAGACCGACCTGGTGAACGGGACATTGAGTTGCAAGCTCTTGCCTCACACGCATACTCATCCGTCCATCCACAGCAACCTCAGCCCACATCTCAGGTGCGGAGCGCCGTCCGTTGGCACCTCTCCAAACTACGACTTGTTCTTTCAAAGGCATCAGCCCATCAGCAGGCAACGACTTTTTCATATTCATCCACAACAACTTCAAATTTTGCAACGAAAACCTATAAAAGTCCTTCAGTAACTGTCATGGTAAATGTATTACAAACAACATCAACTAATTTAAATACCACGATAATCTAAAATTATCAGCAATAACTCTTATACCACCAGCAGCATCAACAACTCGAGGAGATCAAATGACGTGAACAACAACAACAACAATTCAGTGCTTTTATCGCACACACACCGCACACACACACACACACACACACACACACACATACACACACACACACACACACACACGGTACGTCTCGTTCCTTCTCCGCGCGGTTGGCAGCGGCGGCGGTAGTGGCTGATGCGGCTCTCTTGATGGCATTGGGAGGTGGACGATTTGGTTTGGTGATGGTACTGGGGGTCTGGTAGCTCAAACGGGTGTTTGCATAGGTGCCTTGTCGCCTTAGATCTCGGGGTGACATATGGGTGTGCCGTTCATTGGTGTTTTGACTCACGGTCAGGCGACCAGTCAGGCTGTGGCGCGTGCTCTGCAAATGCGCGCTGCTGGAGCTCGACCATGTCCACAACTGTGCGCTTTCGGCCCGAAGTGGTCTCGCAGGCCGCTGACGACGATGCATGGGAATGCGTGGCTGGGATCTCTTGCATCGCCATCTACCGTCCGTGCGCGGTGGCCGAGCCTGCCCTGGTGAGCAACGCTCGGCTCTATTCCCATGATTTTTCACCTCGACCCACCGGTACAGCCATCATGCCTGATTGACCAACCCGATGCCTGTTCAATCCTTGTTAGATTTGGTATGGCTTTAGCAACGGTCGCATTGATGTCGCCCACGAAGCCGAGGCCACACCCACCACCCCGCCTCGCAGCCACAGTCGCTCGTCAGGTACTGCAATCGGCACCCTTGGCGTCTAGATCCCCCCCGATGTTTGCAAGTTTGAATCAATTCACCAGCGTCGCTCATCCTTTGTTCCTTTCTGGGGTACGGATTCCCTGATAGTCTCGTCCTTGGCCTCTGAAGCATCTCAGCCCGGATCCCCATCAAGGCGCTGGCGCTGGTTGAATTTCATGCGCCCTGATCAGAGCCCCCTCCACATGGGCGGCGCCGACACTCGCTCACCACATTCCACATACAAAACCTTGCGAAGCCTGCAACTCGATGGCCCCATCTCTTGTATTCTGCCTTTGCCGCTGACGGAGGCCGTCTGGATCGGCGGCCACGGCGGCTTTCTCAAGGTGTTTGATGCCCGCACTCTCGAATGCACCGCCGACTTGACCATGCACGAGGATCACATTGCGAGCCTGCAGGTTGATGACATGAATCCCGACTGGGTGTGGACCGCCAGCCGCGACGCACATGTTGTGCTTTGGAATGCACAACAGCAATACGCCCTGCAAAACGTGATCCTGCAAACCCTCCTGGACGACAGCGCACTTGTGGCAGATATGGTCCCAATGGATGACCTTCTCTGGCTGGCCGTGGGCACACATGTTATCGGCCTCACCAAGCGGGACGCGCGCGTCATTGATGCCATCCTGCCTCAATTTCAAAAAAACCGAACGAGCACGTCAGGTCATCTCAGTGATGGCCGTATCGTCCGTGCCGACAGTCTCAGCAGCTCGCGGAGCTTCCTGACTCGGCGTCGAGCCGAGAACGTAGCCGGTGACATTGTCCATGCCGCCTTGGAGATTGGAATTCAATCCGTGCGTCTGGCCTCCTCAACCACGACACCTACAGTCTCATCCATTCCCATCCCTGGCCTCCGCTCCGCCGAAGGGCTCTCAGCATCGCCTGCGTCGACACTCGGCCGCTCGCCCCGTCCCAATCCGTTTGGAGCTACCACGGTTCCAGGCCGCCTTGATAGCACCGCTGGAAGTGCGGCCGAGAGTGCCGCCAGTAGCAATGTTTCCAGTGATGCCGAGGACGATGGCATGCCACATTTGCCCATCCCTAGCGTGCCACTAACCGCCTTGGGCCAAATCTTTGCCGCTGCTGCGGATGACGGCGTGAGTTCAAACCGCTTCAAGCGGCCTCGCCGCCATCCTATTTTGGCCCTGCCTGTCGACCTGATATGCGCTGGACTTGATGGCGAGCTGTGGTGCTGCTCGCCCAAGTCATCAGCCATGCAGGTGTTTGATACACGGCGCAGCCGTCGGCTTCTCACCTGGCTCGTAAAGTGCCAGGGCCTGACTTGTGTCAAGCGTCACGACGACGTTGTTTGGGCCGGTGGCACCTCGGGTGCCATCTATGCCTGGCATGCCCGCACCAAGCACCCGCTTCTTCGGCTATGCCTACATACGGATGGCGTTGTTGGACTTGCCATAAGCCCCGACGCTCGTCACCTGGCCACGGCTTCTGCACCGTTGGACGGCTCGATCATTGTTCATAATATGGCCGAACTAATGCGTCGATACAAGCATGACACGGTGATTAGTGCTCGCTTGACCAGCGGTGACTTTGAGGAGTTTCCACGCGTGCATGAAGGTCAGCACGTCCAGCACGTGGCAGCAGCACAGGCCGAGACGGTGGGCGCATATGCTGTTCAACCACAACTTCAAGCTGACTATGATCAATATGGGTTCATGCGCTTTGCCGTGGTTGCGGATGTGCCCCCTCGTTCTGAGACGCGGCCACTGGAATCGGTATGTCTTGCAACCTCGTGCTCATTTCACCTTCTCTCTTGGCCAGTTGCTCGCCACACTCGTGATTCTTTCAAAAAAAAAAAAAAAAAAAGAATAATTGCTTCCCTTCACACAACTCGTTTTCCTTTCGCACGTTTGTGCGCGCGTCGATGGTTTCTCTTCTATTCATCCGAGCCCATGCTTCACTCTACGGTTCCCTGGTCGCGTAGAGGGCAATCCGAGCCTTTCGCGTGGATGCTGAAAAGGTCACGGCCAACGACCTGGAACGACATGACGAGTATGCCTCCTGTTTGGATCCCACCGACTTTGGTATCGCGTCGTACCTTGTATTTGGCTCAACTGGTGTGCTTATGGAATTCTGGTGCCATGTAGGTGGGAAGAGTTGATCGCACAACTCAACAAGCAAACAGAACCCCGGCTTCTCACAGACGTTTCCCATCTCGAGCTATGTCGGCGCGGCATCCCTCAGCACCTGCGCCAGCACGTGAGGATCGACATATACCAGGGCATTGGAATACTACGTAGGCATGCTAATACCTGTATCTTGGGCGTGTTGGCAGGTCTGGAAGCATTTTGTGGCCGCGCGTACCGCAGGCATTCGACGCATCAACGGCAACAACTTTTACAAAAAATTGGTTGAGCACAAGTCGACGAAGCAACTTGAGTACGCCGAGTTGATCAAGGTGAATTTGAGCGTCGTGGTACACCGTCTTCCAACTCAGCCCCCGCTTCCAGCGCCCACCAGATGCTCGGTGAGGTCTCTGCGTGTTTGGCATTCATGTGATTTGCATCAACCCATGTCAGCTGGACTTGCTGCGCACGTTTTCCAACAACGTGTTCTTCCAAGACTTTAATGCGCCAAGCGTGGTCGCGTTGCAGCGCGTGTTGACGGCCTTTGCCTTTTTCATCCCCAGAATTGGTACGTCATTGCCAGTAGAATGCATTGCTGTTCCATGTCAGGACCCTGTGGTGGAATGATCCCGTTGGTCTGTCGTCACCTTTTGCCCTTAGGCTACACTCAAGGTTTCAACCGCTTGGTTGCCTTTGCCATGCTGTATCTCAATGAGGAATGGGCCTTTTACGCTCTCGATGCCATTGTGGAGAAGATTATGCGGTTTGAGTACTACAACTTTCCCATGACGGGCTGTGCCGTGGACCGTAGCATGTTTGTGGGTGCGTTCATCTTTTCCAGCTTTGTGCTCTGCTTTGCTCAAAGAACGCATAGAGCTGACCTGGTCTGTATCTCTGGCTTGCGCCCTGGCTACTGCAGCCATGGTGAAGGAGACGATGCCCGAGTTGCACGACCATTTTCAACATTACTGCTTGGATCTGCAGCGCATCTGTTTTAGTTGGTAGGTGGCAGCAGGCCAGCGGGCACTACTTTTTCACGTTCTTCCCGGCTCAATCAGATGACGCGTGACGGTGCTTCAGGTTTTTCACGGCATTTGTCAACACACTGCCGACTGAAGTCGTGCTGCGCATTTGGGACGCCTTTTTGTGCGAAGGCCGGAGCGTACGTGGTGCTATCCATTTAGCGTTGCGCCCATGAGTCTAGTGCGGCGTCTTTGACTTTCTTTTTTCAATGTGCGCCCTGCCTCATGCTCATAAGCATGGTATTGGTTTCTCTGGGGTCCCTGACAGGTTCTGTTTCGCTATGGGCTCGCACTGCTCAAGCTGCACAAGGACGACATTTTGCAATTTCGTGAGGATACAGAGCTGAATGCTTTCTTCAAAGAGGATCTATTTCGCGTGCGCAACGTAGATCAGCTCGCTTACGTGCGTCGTCGCAGGCGCTGCTCGTTGCATGTCATGATGTGGTGCCCTTGCGCTGTGGTCCTTTTTAAGACATCCTGATTGCTCTCATTTATGCTTTGTTACCGCGGTTGGCACGTGTCTCGTGTTGACTTGCTGGCTTTACAGACCGCCTTTCACGATTTGGGACTGGACGTGGAAGCCTTTATTGCGACGAACAGCGATTATTTTCGCAGAGTGTGTGAGGAGGAAGAGCAGAGGTTGTCAGGTCATGGATAGAGGGTGTGTGTGTGTGTGTGTGTGTGTGTGCGTGTGCTCCCGCCGATCCTGCGGCGTTGACGCCCTACCACACTACTAGGACAGTGATTAGAGTGTAGATTCGCTATTAAATGAGTGTTTTGCTCGTGCATGGCATCTTAATCGACCTATGATCAATTGCCAGGTCGCTTTGGTGCGCGGCGTGCGATGGTCAAGACAAGAGATGCAACAGACATGCGCCATGTACCCGCAGGCTGAGGGCAGTCGTTCTGTGCACGAGAGGGGGATATTCAGCCTCAGAGGTGCGAGTCTACAAGTGTAGAAAAACAAAAGTAAAAGGCATCATCATCTGCGCAATGTGGCTAGCTGGCTAGCTAGCTAGCTAGCTAGCCAGCAGCTCCAGCGGGGGTTGCGGCTTGACTAAGGGCAGGTGGGGTTGCAAATGACACCACAATCATCGATGAGCACCATGGATTCACCAGCAAGCCATTGCAACATGGCCTGGTGGTAGGTGAGGCCATTGATGCGTGGTTTGCTGTTGGTGAAGGTCGTGTGAATGAAGCAGGCAGCGTTGAAAACGCCATCGCGGTGGCTGTTGGCGGCGCGCTGGAGGCCCTGGGTCATGTTGGCTGCCCACTCGGCGAGATAGGCTTGCTCAGGGGGTTGGTAGATGTCATTAGCAGGCAGCCAGTCATGACCTGTGGTCACAACTTCGTCGGTTTGTGCCTCAACAATGAAAATGGGCGCCCGCATGTAAGGGTACGAGAAGTTGGCAAGCATGCACTTCCACGTGTCGTTGACGGGCATGTCGCGCTGGCAATCTTGGTCCATGTGGCTCTGCCAGAGGGTCACGTGTCCAGGCCAGGCCTCGGCACGGAAGTCGGCAAGCCCCGACTGAGTGTGATTGGGGCCGGTGTAGGGGTAAGCCGGGAAGTAAAAGCCGGCGATGGGGACGTTGTAAACGCTGGCCTGGGGATAGCGATCGACCAGGTCGTTGAGGTGGTACCAGGTACCGAGGCCACCGGCCGAATCACCCGAAAGAATAATCTCTGTGGCCTCGGTGAGGCCATGGTTGGCCTCCAGATCTTCGATGATGGCGTCAACGATCAGCTTTCCAGCAAAGATGATGCCCCAGGACTCGTCCGAGGGTTGGGCGCGTTGGCCGGAATGCAGATCCTGGGAGCAGTACACCACCTCCACTCGGTTCCACTGGCACATGACAGGGTTTTCGTTGCAATCATCGGTTCCGAGGAAGCCCAAGCTGCCGATGCTCTTGGGGCGATGATCGGTTGACCCGAGGGAAGTGTTGAGCTTGCTCTTGCAGCTGTCCTCCGTGGCGCACTCGCCGCCGCCTTCGAGGGAGATGACCCATTTGGTGGACGCCGAGGCGTTGCTGCTTGGCTGAAAGTAATAACCACCGGGCGTACCATCCATACAACTAGCGCGCAGCATGACATGCAATGCAAAAAGAGAGGTGTGTGAGAGAGGGCCTTCAAACGGGCCGTGCCATGCCAGGGGCATCAGAGTCACATGGCCCCGCAAGAAAACATCAACAAAGGCAAGAGGCGGAGGGCAGATCGGCATGAAGTCCAGTTGATTTTGTGGACCAGGTGAGTACGGCAGTACGACGCATGCCTACCGTGCGTTGGGATATTTGTCAAGCAGAGTCAAAGGCACATCGGCATTGGCCGCCGCTGCCACCAGGGCCACCAACAACAGGAACTTGAGCATCTCGATCCGTTACTGTACGAAAATGCCCAAAGGCACGCCGTCTGTGTGTGTGTGACAAGAGATCAAGGCTTACATGTAGTGTATTTCCTTTTCCCTTGTGAGTGTGTGTGTGTGTGTGTGTGTGTGTGTGTGTGTGTGTGTGTGTGGAGTTTTATTTCTTTCTGACCTTTGCTTTTGCTTTTGGATGGTGGGTGCGTGCGAGTGTGTGTGCCTGTGTGTGAACGAGTCATACGACTCATTTGAGAGCGTGGTGATGTTGGTGCGTCGTATTGTACAGTCTGACACACCACGGGGCAGCGGGTTCATTGTGGCACGGACACGCGCACATAAAACACAGATAGCATGAAACAAAGACTTGGGCTCGCCGCTTGGCTCGGCTCGGGTCGAGGCATAGGGAGAGAGGGAAGAAGGACCAGGGACTGGGTGCTGGGAAGATCGGAGGTTCGGTTGGCTAACTGGCAAGTCAAATTAGAAAATCGCGAGGAGGGCAAAGGTGCCGTACAAGAGCGCGCAGGGATATGCCACCAATACGCGTTGATCATGCATGCGCAAGACCTAAAGGCACATTACCAAAAGGACAGGCGGATGCCACACAAGGTGAGCATGTACTTGATGTTCGCCTAGCATCCCTCGTCTCGCCTCGCCGCACTTATCCGAACTTCGAAACAAAAAGGGAATTAAAAAAAAAGGGCAAAAAAAACAAGGAGGTCTGGTCTACACATACGCTGGTAAAAATACGCGCAGCACTGTGGGTACACCAGGCAATGGAGGTGGCGGCCAGACTCAGTCCCACCACACCCCTAAAAGGGCCAGTGCGCAAGGGAAGCAGAGTGAAAGCAACGGGTGGTTCAGTCGGATTAGCACGAGAGCTGTAAAATGTGCACGCAATGCGGATGGCCAGGCAACTGAAAGATAGCCTCGCCTCAAAAAACAGGGCGGTGGGCTCACGTTAGATTCAGCAAAATAGAAATGGACGACAACGCCACCATCGGCAGCAAGGAATAGCCCAAGACACTATGGTTTAGACGACAATTCAGCCAACAGGAAGTGAGACAAGCCATTCAAGTGGTTGCGTGGCCGGGGCAACCACGCTGGGACAGCCGAGAAGCAAGTTGAATGAAAACACGCCCGGGACACGGGTGCGGGCCGGATCAAAGGGTACCTGGCCGTGGTGCTCAGAGAAAGCGTGTGCTCTGACATGAGACGAAGAACCTAATCAGTAACATACCCCAAAGATGGCATGTTGAGAGGGACAAATCGGGTCAAAGGTTCTTCAGCGAGCGAGGGGTTTCGGCAGCACGACAAACCATATAAAGTCCCAGGCAGCCCATGACGGCAACGCCATAGATGTAACCAAATTGCAGTTTACCGCTGGCCAGCATGAAGGCGCCGAAGAGCAAGCAGAACATCAAGGGGCCGGCGAGATCAGTATCGTCCATGAGGTGACTGTCGACAGGCTTGGCGACGTTGAGGACCGCTAGGGTTTTGCTACGGATATGATCAAAATTGATGCCGAGTTCCTCGAGCAAAGGGGGTTCTTCCTCATCCCCGTAGTACTGTTGGCTATTTTGACTGCTGTCCAACCAGATATATGAGGGTCAAGAAGGACCATCCATTCCCCTTGACGTAGTGCTGCGCTGTCTTGAAAACCCCCCCCAAAAAAAAAAAAAAAAAAAAAAAAAAAAAAAAAAAAAAAACAGACCAACAGGCCATCTAGAGAGGATGCGAGGCTGACACCATGCACTCACCCATACGAGTTTCCATAGTTGGCTTGGCCCATCTGGCCATAATCACCCCCGGAGCTATAGGCGTCGAAGCCCCCGACGTTGTTGTCGTCGCCGTCAGCGGCGCCGGTCGAGTAGAAATCCATCGCACTCCCCGATATGGCGATGAAGCACACGACCAATCTATGAAGCGAGCAAACCCCATCCATACACCAGTCAGAACACCCCCGCCCTTAATTCCACCCAATGGTCCTCATTCCATGTCCTTGCCAGCGCAACACAGCTCAGCATTGTCCCCCCCCTCACCCGCGCCACTGCCAACCGCCGCGATCAACTCCACCAACCAGCTGTTCAGACAAAAAAAAAAGACTGATGACTGAGACTGAGAGAGAGAGTTTGAGAGAGTTTGAGAGAGAGAGAGAGAGAGAGAGAGAGAGTTTGAGAGAGAGAGAGAGAGAGTTTGAGAGAGTTTGAGAGAGTTTGAGAGAGAGAGAGTTTGAGAGAGAGAGAGAGAGAGAGTTTGAGAGAGAGAGAGAGAGAGCGTGTGTGTGTGTGTTTGTGGTGTGTATGAGTGATTGAAATGTCAGACAAAAGTGGTCATTTGAGTCAACGAATGTGTTGCGAGCACGGCAAACGTTCGGGTTTACGGTTGGCGGGCGGGCGGGCGGGCGGGGCCGTGAGTGAGGGACTGTACGAGATAGAGTTGGGAGTTGAGAGTCAAGTCTTTGAGGTGATTGGGCAAAAGGTGTGACAGTGCGTATGGGTAGTGGGGAAAGTGTTCGGGGCAGAAGCAGGTGAATTGGGGGTGGACCGCCATGGACACGTGGGTTGCGCGGGGCCACGGGCCTCTCTTTCGGTGGGGCGCCGCACACCACGTCCTCAGCTATGAGGCCGTGGCAGCTTGGGCTGACCAACAAGCAAAGGCAAAGCCCTTCTGCCAGCTACCATCCAACTTGCGGCTGGCCTTTATTGCTCAGCATCACGCGTACTACGCGACAGCAGCCATCCTGTTTGCCCCGCGCACCCAATATACTCCCATGGACCCGCGTGGATCGGTTTCTGACCTGGCCCGTGCCGTGGCCCACCTGCGCGTTGATGCTCTCTGCATCGAGGCCACTCATCCAGCTGCCGTATCCCTGACGCGCTGTCTCAGTCCGTACATCACCGTTCTCTGGGCACACACCGGCTCGCAGTCAGCAGAACCTGCCACGTCGTCCAGTCCACTCTTCTATCTGGCAGACCCAATCCTGCCACAGTCTTCCCTTGACATGGCTTGTGCTGAACGCAAGGTGGTCGATGAGCCAGACATCTCGCAGCTTCAGCTCAAGGGAGCCCGATGGCACGATGCAAACGGAGAGGTTTCTCATCGCGTGGCCCTGGTCATGCAAACCTCTGGCACCACACGTGCACCCAAGCGCGTGTTACTGACTCAAGTCAATTGCGAGCGTGCCGCTGCCAGCATCGCTCAAACCCTGCAGTTGACCAGCCAAGACGTGGGCTGCAACGCACTACCGCTCTATCACATTCACGGCCTGGTGGTAAATTTGTTTGCTACCCTGTTTGCCGGTGCTAGCCTCGTTCTTCTCCCGACAGCGACCATGGCGGATGGGCCTGGCCTTCTAGAGGCTCTACGGGCTTTTGAGGTCACCTGGTATTCTGCCGTGCCCTTAGCCCATCGCCGACTCTTGCGTGTGCTGCGCAATTCCCCTGCACATGTTGCCCCGTTGCCTCGACTGCGCCTTGCCCGCAACTGCAGCGCCCATCTTGCCCCTGCGGATGCCGCAGCCTTGGCCCAGCTGACGGGCTGTCGCATGCTGACGACCTGCGCTATGACGGAATGCATGCCCATGTGTTCTCCTTCCCTCCTCTCCACGAACCCCTCCTGTGACTCTCTTGGCCACGCCTGTGCACCGGTCGTTCAGGTGGGTGTGCTGGCAGCTGACGATCGCGTCCACAATCAGGGTACGGGCGAGCTGTGCGTACGTGGCCCCGCCCTCAACCCATACGAGGATGACAACGGTGGGTCGGCTGTCACCTAACCGAGTAATCATCGCGCTTTTGTACTTTTTTATATGGCCGCGTCTTTGCACGTTCCTTTGTTTGCCCGCCCCCATCCTAGAGTCAGCCTCACCCACAATTGTCGCCTTCCCATTAGGCTCCGTCTATCTACCTGTGCACAGCAGCGGCTGGTTCCAAACCGGAGATTTAGCCCGAATTGACGGGCACGGCTGCGTCAAGCTTGAAGGCCGCCTCAAGGATTTCATCAACAGGGCCGGTGAAAAACTCAATCCGCGCGAGGTACGCGTTGGCCGGCCAGCCGCGTATCAGTAGCTCTTCTCTGCACACCGTCTGTGCCACCTCATCCCGCTTTCTTGGAGCATCGTCTTAGATTGAAGCAACCCTACAGCCACACTTTCCAGGCCTGCGGTTTGCAGCTTTCGCCGTCGACCATGATGATTTGGGTGAGGCCGTGGCTCTTGCTTTTGAGGATGACCCAGCCGCGCATGCTCTGCGGGCACTCTTGGAACACCGCCTCCTACCCGCGCATTGGCGCCCCGAGGTATGGAAAAAAAAAAAAAGATTGCGCCGTGTTTGATTCATTCGACCAGAACATTCGCCCCCTTTCAGGGGGCGTGGGGATGGGGTGGAGTGGTGGAATAGTCTAGTGTATCTTCCTCCCCGTGCTCGACAGCTCACCAAACATTTTCTGTGAATAGTTGATTGTTCTTGGCGCAACATTGCCTCGAACAGCGACAGGCAAGATTCAGCGTGCGCACCTTTCCCGGCTCTTGAACGGTCTATCCCGGCCCACAAACCATCGGCTGCTGCGGTTGACAACTGCAGCTGGGACACAGGCTCTCAGTCTGCAGGTTCAAGAAATGCATCTCGCGTCTGCTTGCACAGCCGACATTCCAAAGCACCTAACTCCCGAAGCTTTACTGGTCACTTTTTGCGCCATCAACTTGCCACGTGATGCCCACCTCACCTTGGAACAGGTACGACGTCTGTCCGACTGCCCCCATCCGATTGCCTGCCTGCCTACCTGCCTGTGGTTTCCTTCCTCGCACAATGCCCTTGGTTCGTGATGGTGTTTTTTTTTTTTTTTTTTCTCAGCATGATTGTGCCGAATCCTTTTGCATTTTGTTAGGTGGGCATCGACTCGCTACGCCTTACAGAGTTGTTAGAGCTGCTCCATCGGCACTGCGACGTTGAGGAACTGAGCCCGGAGGAGCTTTATCGTACCGATGTGGCGGTGGCAGTTTTCCTAGCCCGCTGGCATCTCCGTCCTCCAGCAGTCGCTCCGAGCGGGAGCAACAAGCAGCAAGCTGTCGCGGCAAAGAAGCAGTTGGGGCGCCTTCGCCAACAACAAATACACGCAGCACGGGAAAGTGCCTATGACGAAGCCTCTTGTAGGTTTCGCAATGCCAGAGCTCAACATGCCTCTACTCTATTCTGCTCTCAGCCGCGAAGTTCTGCTCACATGCTTGCGTTAAAAATGCTGTGTCGTGGATGATAGCCATGTGGGCAGCGCGCATGGGCGACTTGGGTGCATTGCAAGAACGAGTTACTCAACCTAATCACCCAGGGCTTGATGAGGTCCATGATCGTCATGGCCTATCCTTGCTTGCATGGGCTGCCGGTACTACCCCTTCCGCCTTGCCTTTATTGCCTGTTCATGGATCGCTGGATGATGCAGTTGAGCAACACAGGCTAATCTCTTTTTGATTCGTTTGGCACGCTTCTGGCAGGACAAGGCCATCTGAGCTGTGTCACATGGCTGCTGGAGCAAGGTGTTCAAGTGGATCGTATGAGCCGAGAAGCTCGTACTCCCTTGCACTGGGCGTGTCGAAATGGGCACATGGAAGTTATTCGGTTAGCTTGGCCTTCTTCACCCCTTGTTCGTTTGATCCTTGATGCTCTCAAAAAGCACCCTTGTCAACCACCCCCCCCCCCCCCCC